GGGAAGTGGCCCCACAGTATACTCTCTCCCATTACACTATATCTGACTTAACATTGGTGATCTCCACAGTGCTTTGCAGAGTAGATGCTCAATAAGGGATAATAATAATGAAGACATTTTAAATGTAAGTTTTTATAGTTTAAGATGCTTATTGCTTGCATTCTGCTAAACATTTAAGATCTTCTAGAAAAACCTTAGTTTCTAAAACTTGCCCTTTTCCTTCCTAGTCTTCTGATATTCAGAACCCAACTGTATCCTGATGCTATCGCTAATGGTTTAATTGATGTACATATCTATATTCATTCAAATAAAATAAGTGCTTTGGTTAAATAGTTATCTTAAAAATACAACATCAGGAATCCGTTTTATACCCAACTCACCTTTTTTATGATGAAAGATTCCATTTTTACTAAAGGCTAAAAAGTATTAAATGCTGATGGTATTGTGGAGCTTAGAGAATGATAAAAAAGAATTATCAACTGACTACCGCTCCACAATGAGAAAACAATTGCAATTCATATATTTAAATAAGAAAAATATTATTTGGGCAAGAGGAAACAAAGATAAATTCATTGGCTGTAGAACCAACCAGCTGCTTGATATTACCAGAAATGGTTTTTCCTTTTGAATCAGCTTTTGGGGAGAATGCTCTGGCTTCTAGCCCAGAAAGATATGGTGTTAGGTCTTTCCTCTCTCAATAGTAGATAAATACATGTTCTCTTGACCCTACTCCTGCCAGTTCTCAACTAATTTTTTACAACCAAGTTTCAAAAGGAAAAAAAAAAGTCATCTCTTCTTAAGGACTTCACCTCCTGTTTTCCCTCCGACTACTACAATATGCTGACTTCCACCCCCTATCTTTTCAGTGAAAGTGCTTGTCTTAAGGTCACGAATAGCCTCCTGTTTGCCAGATTTCATGGTCTCTTTTCAGCCCTTTGGTTCTCACAGCTTTACAGAGCATGTATTAGTGTTGACCATGCTCTCCTCCCCTGTCGTCTTTGACACCCTTCCCCCTGACTATTCTTACTTTCTCCATCTGCTCCTTAAATTGTGAACACTTCTGAGGTTCTGTTCTCTACCTTATTCCGTTCACAATTTATCCAAGTAATCTTGTCCACTCCTGTGGCTTTTTTTTTTTCTTAAGATTTTATTTATTTATTTGAGAGAGCGAGAGATAACACATGAGCAGGGGTGAGGGAGGGGCGGAGGGAGAGGGAGAAGCAGACTCCCTGCTGAGCAGGAAGCCGGATGCAGGGCTCTATCCCAGGACCTGGAGATCATGACCTGAGCTGAAGGCAGATGCTTAACTGACTGAGCCACCCAGGCACCTCTGCTGTGGCTTTTATTCATTTATTTTTTAAATTTAATTTAATTTTATTATGTCATGTTAGTCACCATACAATACATCATTAGTTTTTTTGTTTGTTTTGGTTTTTTTTTTAAGATTTTATTTATTTATTTGACAGAGACACAGCGAGAGAGGGAACACAAGCAGGGGGAGTGGGAGAGGGAGAAGCAGGCTTCCGGCTGAGCAGGGAACCCTATGTGGGGCTCGATCCCAGGACCCTGGGATCATGACCTGAGCCGAAGGCAGACGCTTAACGACTGAGCCCCCAGGCGCCCCATCATTAGTTTTTGATGTAGTGTTCCACGATTCACTGTTTGCCTATAAGACTCAGTGCTCCCTGCTCTGCTGTGGCTTTTAAACGCAATGTCTCTCAAATCCTTATCTTCCCACATTGCTCTTTTGAGGACCAGGTTTCTGTTTCCATGAAATTGTGAGATATCTCTGCCGGGATGTTCCATAGGCCGCTCGAATGTGTTACCTTCCAAACTGAGCTCAGTCTTCTGTATACCCTCCCCTTCTGCCCTCAACAGTGACGGCACATCCTCCCAGTTGGCTGGGCCCCAGCCGGTTCCCATCCTCAGCTTTCTCCTCACCCATAGTATCCTCTTCATCTTGTTCTCTCAGTTCTGATTTTTAAATGCTTGCCATCTCTTGAGTGTCCACTGGTGCTGAGGCCTGTACTAGGCACTTTTTACATATTGTTTGCCCCCTAAATGCCTCCAAATCCAAATGAATACCGCCTTCCTATTCCCAGAGCTATTCTCATGGTAGGTGTTCAGTCAGTATTTGATAACGTACCTGTTTCACGCCAGAAGAGCCAGGAACCTGGGAACCATCTTGGCCCCCTCTTGTCTTTTCCTCCTTCAGGCTTCGTGGTCAGCACCGAGTCCTGTTACTCTGGCTTCTGTAAACGTTCTCTCTCTCCGTTCCATCTACCACTGCCTTAGTTCTGGCCTTCATGACTCCTTGTCTCGGCTATTATCCATTTTCTTATTTGTCTGTCTTTATTCTCCATGCCATCTATTCCATGCTCTGTTACTGCTGCCCATAATCTCTCTCAAATATAAATTTAATTTTGCCTTTGTCCAGCATAATCAGTTCCATTGTCATCTAAATAAAGATCGCAGTCCTTAACTGGCACTCCTTGTGATTTGGTGCGTGCTTATAAGATAAGCACCTTGCATACAGCCTTCACTCCAGTCCTATCAAATTATCTGTAATTACGGAAAATGCCACCCATTCTTAACCCCTCAGTGCTCTTTGACCTGTTGGAATGGCCCACTTCTCCCCATTTCCAAATCATCCTTTAAGACTGCTCAAACATCACCCTCTTTTAGAAGGCTTTCTTGCTAGTTTACCAGGCAATTGATGTCATCCCTCTGCACACCACTCCCCCAGAAGCTGGTGTTTATCTTTATTATATAGTTTATCTTTTCTGCCTTTCTGCTTAGACTGTGAACTTTTTGAGCTCAAGAACTGTGTTGTGTTTCTAATTATTTTTGCATAAGGAAGAAGAAAAGAGGAGGAAGAGAGAGAGAGGGAAAAAGGGAAGGAAGCCAGTGAATTAATTGACCCACTGGATAGTGTATAAAATGCTGGGTTTTTTAGTTTTGCTTTTATTAACTTTCTTTTGAATGGGCAAATAATAACCACTTCTTTATTCGTTAATCTGCCCTGCAGAAAACTGGCTCATGCTATCAGTGGTAAAGGATTAAAGCCATGACTAAAAGTAACCCAGAAAATAAATTACCATTTTATTTACTCTCCTAAAAAAGGGATGTGCTTTATCTGTCAGTTGCTAATTAAAATGCTGAATCAACTTCCAGATGAATGCTGAAATATATTTATGTTGATCTTTTATCCTTATTAAGTATTAATACATTCTTTTTAGTGAGTTTTTTAGATATCAGATGGTTTCTACAGTTCTTGTAGCTCTCCAGACTTCTAAAGACAGAGGATAAATCCAGTTGTGGTGCAGTAATAGGATCCATCCTCACTCAGCACTACTCAGTTCCCACGCTATTTCAAGAAACTCTCTATTAAAGAAAAAAATCTCTTTCATGGAGGATCCTTAATGGTAACACTTTGGTAATATTATTAAAGAACATTTTTTTTACAGATATAATCCAACAAATACTCTTCTCCCCATAACAGTTACCTGATCATAAAATATTATACCTACTGAATTGACAGTTATTTGCTTCATAGCTGTGGAGGATCAAAGTGAACTGAAGTGTCTCAGTTCTTCTCAGCTGTTTTATTCTGTTTTCACATAGCCATTTTCAACTGTCCCCGTCTTTTCCACCTTAGACATTTCAACCAGGTCCTTCAAAGGAAAAACCACAAAAACCCACCAAGCTTCAAAACCACCAGTCAATACACACACACACACACACACACACACACACACACACACAGGCAGAAAAATATGGTGGGAAAAAAGGGGTGAAGGTGATTCGGAGCTTTTCTCTCCTTTTATTCTGAATGTGAAATAATTTTATTAGAGCGTAATAGTTTGTATATGACATTTTTACTTACAAAGTCAGTGCATCAAAACTACGGCTAAGTAGGAGAAAATTAATAAATCTTTGGATATAATCTAAGCCTGTTTGCTGTCTAGCATATATTGCATGCGTGTGCGTGTTGCATCCTCAGAGGAAAACACTTTAAAAGAAATTGAAAATGAAAGTATGGATCATCATAGTGTATAACTGTGGGTTTAAAAAAAAAACAAACTCCCTCTTGCTGGGCTCCTATGTATAAATTGTTAGCACTAAAACCACCTGCTAGGAACATTCCTGCCAACTTAATCCAGGTCTAATAAAATGATTCTTCAGAAGCCTTAACTTGGAAAACAGAGTGGGAAGGAAATGAGGATTCTTTCTTGACAGAGTCAGTTTCTATTGGAGAGACCAGATTTTTTTTTTTTTAAGCTATCAGAAATTCAGCTACCTTCAGTTTTTCTGGGTATCTTTCATTGGTCAGTTACCTGGAATGAATAATATGTAATAATCCTATGTAAGATATTTCTTTGTTACCAGACACAAATATGGATTCTACACAAGGCACTGTGGTAGTTATTCCACATTTTCCTCCCAAAGCTCAAGTAAGTTCATGCAAGGGAGAGTAGGTATTTTCTTAGATTTTAAGGAAATCTCAGTTGCTTACCTGAAATGAAAAAAATCCAAGGCTGGCCTTTTTTTAGGGGGAGGAGTGGGGCAGAATAACAGAAATAATTGACAAGTCTTCTTTATACGTGGAAGAACGGAACAAGCAGCACTGCTTGTACGGAGCTAGAGGGTTAAGTGTGTCTTGCACCGGCATTATCAAGCTGTTTAAATGAAGGATCTACACCAGATGATTTTTTAAATAATTAACATTTTTATGGCTTCTGATTCAGGTAAACACTTTTGAGTTGAATGTCATCTTTTGTTCTGGGCTCCTAATTACTTGCTGAGACACTCACTAGCTATTGAAGAAGTCACTCAAACTCAAACCGTATTTGTTCTTTGAAAGCGAGTCCTCAGCTTTCTGCCGGTCTCCCAAATATGAGTGTCATGAAATAAAAGACACTTAAATTCACTCATGGTGAATACTTCCCTGTTGGTTTTGAATCTGGCTTTTTACTCCATTTCCTTTTTTTTTTTTCCAGAACTTCCTTATGGCTGGGAGAAAATAGAGGACCCTCAGTATGGGACATACTATGTTGAGTAAGTTTGTTACCTCAGTTACTATTCTCCCAAACGTTTTCCCTTCACTGTACAGCTTTAGGGAATCACCCGAATACAACACTTTATGTTTCCACAATCCAGCTTTCAAGTTTTTCCACTAGGGGAATTAGAAGTAGGGGCAGTGAGCATTTACTTCAGTGGGTCTGGACTCCCCAGAAGTTGGCTTTGAAGTAAATAGAGCAAGAGGGAAGTTACCATGCTGATGAATAGCTGGAAGTGGTCACCATTACTACCACGGCATCTAAAGAGAAAAAAGTATATAGAAAACTGTGAAATGAGGGCATGGACTAGATGAAATGTTAAGGTCACTTCCAACACCACAGACAGCTATTTGGTCATGAAGGCAGCGAAAGCACTCTAAGGGCAGTGAACCGTAATGATCCAGAGTTTTGGAGTACAAGATTAGAAGTGTACTGTCTTTTAGGGCGTTAATCAAGGAACACTTTGGGGGGAAGAGAGTTGCTTCTTACACAGCTGTTATGGTTAAATTTAAACATAAGTGTATGTCGGAGTGGAGCACCGAACACCTGCCTGTGTTAGAGAAATCAGCGTCCTCGGATTTTTCTTTCCCTTTTCTTCATTTATCCAGTTGCGACGTTGTTATGATGAGGGATCGCTTTCTTTCCAAATGCTATAGGTAGAATTTTGACCTCAGGCAAATAACTACATCAGAAACGTTGCTACTGTGTACCTAGAAACTGGGAGTCTGGACCTACTGCCGAGGTAGTGAAGGCCAAATATCATTACCTGAAAAAGTAGCAAACATGGGACTCTTCTAGTTTTATGGTTGCTTATTAATTTTTCATCACTTTTTGGTGTAAACAAATGCCCTTTCCTAGTATTTATCTCTATAGTAAGTATCTCTGACTCCTGTTGTGACTCTGGTCTTTTTCTTTTAACGAAGTATTCTTGACACACAGTGTCACATTTGTTTCAAGTGTACATCTAGTCTTTATTCTAATGTGTAGATTGTTCTTTGAGTCCCTGTGGCTAGAGTTTTGGAATGATTTCTTAAAATCTAACTTGAACCCTAGGAAAACAGCTCAGTTTGACCCTTAGGTATATAACTTCACAGTGTCAACACTTTGGTTCCTTTGGAAGACTCTGCTAATTTTATTTTCATTGTGTTAATGTCTTGCTGATAGTGTCATGTGAAAAGTAGATAGCAGCTCTTTCATTGCTGTTGTTTTTTTCTAAAGCATAGTTAGTTAAAATAAAGAACAATCATTTCTCAGTCAAAGGACTATTGGCGGGCCAACTGGAAAGGTTTTGTGGGATTTTCCCCCCTAGCTGTTTAGTCTATTTAAATTTGTCTTCAGTAGACTATTAATTGCCATTGACACTGCTGAACATTTCTGCAGTAATGATTCTCATTCTCTTATTGTCCATTCCAAGTAAATTTGAATACATGGTCAAGAGGTGAAAGTCGTTTGCCTGTTATAAAATCTTGGGCTAAATGATCTGTTTCTCATTAAGCAAAGATATCATATTGAAGCAACGTCAGGGCGAATCCTGAAGTGACCTGCTCCCATTTATCATGGAGCGTGTGTAAAATAGCGTGAATTAGGGGCAACAGCAGCAGCAACATGATTTTGTGTGATTGTTCCCAGAACGAGCTCATTTTACAGGAGGGTAATTTATTAGATTAAGAAAGAGCAGGCTGTACTCAAGATGCACGTTAGTATGGAGTCAGCTGAGCTATGGAATGTGGCTTGATTCCCAGATTAGTCAGGTTTTGAATCCCGACCATAGTAATCTGCAGTGAGTTTACTGATGGAGATAAAAAGCTGTTACTTGAATGGCTACTCTTTGGCTCTCTCACTTTGTCAAACCAGATGGCACAATGATTGCTTTTGGCAGAGGCTTGTAGTAGTAACACCAACTGCAATGGCACTTTTTCTTTGCAAGTATTTATTTTCGGGGATGAGATTCTGAAATGGATTAATTTATTTTTGAAAGTAAAATTGTTCCAAAAATTTAATGGCAGGCCTTCTATAAGAATGCTTACATATTTAGAAATGTTGTCTTCTTTTATTGCATTAAATGTCTTGGTGTGCTTAGGTTTCAGAGTCAAAATATACATCAGTTTGAATATCTCAGATTCATCATGAAAGAATAAGGGTTTTGTTTGTGGAGGTGAATTTTTAAAATCCACCTATTATACACAAAATGTTAATGCAGATGACATTCCAAGTTATATATCCTATATTTAGTCATGCTTCTTTGCTACCCGTGTGTAATTTTTCCGGTAATCTGTGAGATTCTCCTATCTTACTTCCCATAGCTAGTTATATGGAAAACAAAATCTCTTACATCTTAACAATATTGTGAATATAAGTAACTAAATGAAAAGGAGAATGTTTTAACTTTTATGTTTTGTTTTGTTATTTGGGTAGCGTTTTAATCTAAGTAGTTTAAGGTGACACATGCAGTTACTCCCTGCACTAAAATCTTACATTCTTTTGTCAAAGAATTTTCAGGAAAGGGATTACTCACTTGCAGACTGCTGCTCTCCTCTCCCACACATTACAAAGAGTATAAATACAAATTACTACTTCTTATGTTTTAATGCCTAGGTGGCAAAATGAGTCATTCCAACTGATGACGTTAAAGTGAGCCAGGGTTTATTCTAAACAGGTTTATTCTTTTCTAAGTGTCACTTTCTGGTGGTTTTATTCTTTCAAGAATATGTAAAATGGTAGGTACTGACATGTAAAACTGACATTTTACATGTCAGTACCTAATAAATGATGTTTAAAATGGTCCCTAAGTTAATACCAAAGATCTCCATTTTCCCAGAGGATTTAACAGTTAAAAAGCTCCCCTTGGCAGGAAGCAGAAGCATACTTGAGTTTCAGTGAAATCGCAACCCAAAGAATTTCAAGTGGAACTTGCCGTGTTTATAGAACTCTGAAACTAAATAACTACATCTGTTGCAGAGTTAATAATGCACTGGAAGCCTAAATGACATAGAGAAAACCAGCATTCATTGCCCTGACGGGTCCTTGCTACCCTCCTCCATCACCACGATTAATGTTCACAGATGGCAAAGTAATTATCCAAGTTGTATGACTATTTGTATGCAAATTTTGTAATATTCAGCCTATCTAAAGGCAGTCATAATCTGAGATTCTCATGATTTGATGTTTGATTGTTGGTATTTGCTAATGTCACTTCTCATTAAAATGAATTCTACTGGAAAATGCTATCAGTTGGCTGAAATATATTTGTACCATGGAAGTGCTAGAATGTAATTCCCAATGCTTCTGTATCAGAACCTATTTAAATAACTTCTGTTCAGTAGTTGCATTCTTAGCCAACTTCCCCTTGACTGATTTGCCAGACCAACCAGTGCTCTGCTCCCCCAGTGAAATATCCTATTGCCCATCATGTATCGACTCTTGTTAGCCAATCGCTCAGCCTTGGTCTCCGCATGCTGTTCTGCTTTCCCCCACAGACTTGTGTGCTTTCCAAGGCAGTTGTGAATGCTCCCAAATCAGCAATACCAGTTAAATTTATATTATGATTATGTAATTATTTTAATTATTATATAATTATGAAAAAAGTTGAGTGTGGAAGAGTTGTTCTACAATACAAATTGGTAAAAGCAAATCTCTCTCTCAGTTGTTCTGCTTAACTGATGTGGGTGAGTCAGTTGGGAAAATAATAGTAAAATTCAAGAAAGCTTCTATACTCAGATTTTTCCAAAAGCATCTTTACAGCTACTTCATTTTAAAGAAACTTGAATTAAAATCCTCCTACCATTAACTGCCTTTTAGAAAACGAACTGATCCATTACCAACTGTTCTGATTGCATTAGATGTGAGGGCGTCTCCTACCGTTTTGAAAACTATTATTGGCTCCGTTGGGTACCTCGATGCAGAAGCTATAGTGAATGCTTCAGCAGCTTTCACTTTTAGGCATCTTCCGTGGGCCTTTCTTTAGTTGCCAAAAGTCCTTCCCCCTACCGTCTTTCAGCCTCTCTGAGTTCCATAGTCTAGAGATACATGTTTGCCCCTTAGCCTACGGGGATGGAATGGTATAACAGTCTATTCAAAAATAATGTAACTCTTTCATCTTAAACCAAAATGCCTGTTTTTCTACATTTTACAGTCACCTTAACCAGAAAACCCAGTTTGAAAATCCAGTGGAGGAAGCCAAAAGGAAAAAGCAGTTAGGACAGGCTGATACTGGGTCTTCAAAACCAGGTAGAACATTTTCCTCAATCTTTTCTTCTAAGAATGCCTTGTGAAATTTATATACTGAATTAATGAAAATAAGTTTGAACTTTTTATTGTTGAGGTGTTGAGGTTCAACAGAGAATGTCTAATTTTTGTCACTGTAAAGATAGGGAATAATCTTAATAAAACATCTAAATGTTTTGAGAATACTGTGATTTTCCCATGCTGCTTAGATGGAAAGTGTGAAATTGTTGGCAAAAGGTATTGAATAGCTTTGTTATGGGCTTGAGGTTGTAATATAAAGATTGCATTCTTTCTCAGTGTTTCAAGCCAGGACAGTCTGAGATCTCTAATCCGTATGAGTTTCTCCCAAGGTAATGCTTAGGTCTAACGTCTGTAACCATCCAGGGTTCTTTATTAACTGATTGGCATAAATCCACCATATTTTTTGCCTGTATCATTGATTCTCAAGTGGGGTGGCAGGGCATCAGTAAATTCAGGATCATTTGGGGAATATTTTGAAAATACATAGGTTCTAACATTTTGATGAGCCTAGCTATGTGTATTTTGAAAAAGCTGCCCAGGAATTTCTTATATTCTATTCATCACTCCCCATCACTTCCCCCTCTTCCGTCTGTTCCAATAACCAGGGTTCTGTCTATAAGGTCATACTGTACTAATCAAGTAGACTCCTCACTTCTGTTGTCCATAAGAGAAGCACTTGTTTCTTATAGCTCCTCTTCAAAAACATAGTCCTGTCACTTAAGTTTTGCATTTGATTTAGAAAGCATTTTTATTTAACAAATATTTTTGAGCACCTACTGTATGCCTAGTGCTCTGCCAGTCATACGATATTCAAAAACGATTAGGAGTAAGAAAGGTCTTGCCCTCAAGAGTTCACATTCTGACGCAGGAAATTAATGGTTACCATATATGGTATTAGGTGCCATCCTCGGAGAGCAGTTAAATGTCCAGAGGGTGGAGCAGGTGTGAATCTCAAATGCATAACCTTGGATGAGTTCCTAAAACTCTGTGCTTCTGTTTCTTCATCTATGAAATAAGAATAAGAATAGTACTTACCTCTTTAGGTGGTTTGGAGCGTGCAAATTAATACGTGGAAAGTGCTTACAATGCTATCTGGCAAATAGGGGCTGATAAATACTAGCTTTCATTGTTATTAGTAGAGATGTACATGTTGTATTAATAGAAACGTATTAATAGGTAGCATAGAGGAGGGAGTGCTCACCTCTCCTTTGGTGGAGAAAGTCAAGGACACAGGGAAGCTTTCAAAGCAGAGGACACAGTAGAAGTGGATCTTAAAATGTCAGGAAAAGTTAAATCAGATGGATGATAATTTTAGAGAAGCAAGAAGGCATGCCAGGTAGAAGAAACAGAATGTATAAAACCATAGGGGCATGAAAGGGTGGTCCAGGGCCCAGAGAACAGAGAAGAATGGCTAGAACATAGAGTATTTGTGGGGTAGTAATAAGAGATGAGGTTGTAGGGGGAGGCAACCACTAGAAGGAGTGAGTTTCAAAAAGAAGTTGAGTGTTTGTGTCCCATGTTGCTGAAAAGTCCAGAAGGCAGAAATTGAAAAATGTACACTGAGGTTGACAATGTGGAGGTCATTTGCAAAATCAAAGGGAAAAGAAGTAAAAATGCAGTAGAATGAAGAGGGAATGGTGGGTGACAAAGTAGAGACAGGGTACGGTCAACAGTTTTGATAGCTTTGATTGAAAGAGGGTGGACAGAGGACACTAAGTGGAGAGAAACATGAATCCCCCCTGCACATAAGGAAGCTGAGACTTTAGTAAAGATAAGCCTTTTGCTCAAAATCATAGTGAGTGTCAAGCCAGAATTTGCACTTAGTTTTACTGAGTTTAAATTCAGAGTTCTTTGTATTATTACATATAGTTCCTGAATGCCCGTGTCTTCACATATCAAGGGAGATCTTCTCTCCCTCACTAAACTCTAAGCCTCTTGAGGGCAGGGAGCCTGTGCGCGTGCGTGCGTGCGTGTGTGTTATTAATCTGGATAACCAGGCACTCTCCTAGGAGCTGGGCATTAAAAGGAGAATAATGACCCAGCCTTTGTCTTTCAGGAGCTCACAATTTAGGCAGGGAAATAGACACCTAATTTTAGTACAGTATGATAGCAGACATAACAAAGGAGAGAGTTGGAACAAAGGAGAGAGAAATTAAATTTGGCTGTGGAGAGGACAAGAAAAACTTCCTAGAAGTGATAGAAGTTATGCTAGTTCTTGAAGAATGATGGCTACCATTTATTGAGATACTGGGTCGGGTACTTGATTGGATGCGTCGTACACATCATCTCATCTAAGACTCAAAATATCTCTGCAAGGTTATTAATATTATGGTCCCCACTCAGATGCCTCCATGGCATCTGGTTAACAGTCATTGGATGCATCCATTCCAAGGAGATGCTTGCCACAAGGACAGGAGTACTCAAGTTTCTGAGCCAGGATGTATGTGTTTGTGCTCATCTACATTTGAGCACTTACTGTTTGTCAGGGCCTGTTGCCTGTGCTTCAGTGCTTGACCTAGTTTAATCCCTGTAACAATCCCATGAATTAGGTACTATTATCCCTATTTTATAGATGAAGAAACTGAGACTTTTAAAAGTTCTGATAACATTCCAAGATCACTCAACTAAATCCCACAGCTTGGATTTAAAATCAGGTATTTTAGAATCAAAGACAGTTTCTTTGTGCTTTTCTTATTCTCCCTTTGTTTAATTCTGATAAGACCTAATTCTGACCAACTTCTCATTAGCTTGGGCTATTTTATTAATACTTTGCAAAATTAGGTATTAGCCAGAACTCCCCCTCCCCCTTTGCACATCTGGATCTCATCCATCATATGCCGATTTTCTAGTTTCACCCTCAGGAGCCAGTCTTATTCCAGCATTCACGAGGACCAGAGCATGAGATAGCTCACCAGAAGTATCACAATATTTGAAGTGTCACAATTAAAAACGAGAAAGGTACATTTCATCAGATTTTGTTCTCAGTTGCCTACATACACGGTCATTAAGCAGATGGTCTTGTCCACAACCGGTAGGTGACCCCAGTGGGCAGTCATAATCAATTTACACGACTGAATGGGCTTTGAATGTGGCAAATATTTTTTAAGTAATATTTGTTCAGAGACTGGTGGCTAGTTGGAATGTCAGAGGCTCAACAAGAGCTCAGCTCAGCAGTACACAGAGAGATCACCAGGAGCAGGCTGGCTGGCCAAGCTTCGAGAGGCCTCCCAAAATAGTGTTTACGCTGGTCAACACACTACTGTCTGGAGTCTAGTTCTCCACTTTGAGAAGCCCGAAATCGCTGATTTTCTTTTCTTTTCCTTTTCCTTTTTCTTTTTCCTTTTCTCTTCTTTCTTTCTTTCTTTCCTTCTTTTCTTTCTTTCTTTCTTTCTTTCTTTCTTTCTTTCTTTCTTTCTTTCTTTTCCTTCCTTCCTTCCTTCTTTCCTTCCTTCCTTCCTTCCTTCCTTTATTTCTTTATTTTGTGTCAAGTGCTTTTATTTATAAGAGATCAGCAAAACTGGGAAGAATAGGTCAAATAAAGTAGACCTACTCCCACCGCAAGCCTGCCTTTGTCAGTATCTTCAGGTCAGCCCTGCCTCTTGAGGGAGCTGTTTACACTGCTCAGTCCCTGCCACCATATGGGGCAGCCCCAAAGATGACTCTTTTTCTAACTGGCAACAGGCTTTATTGTGTGCCTCTCAGAACCCTTGCCATGAGGGGCAGCAGCAGCTATACGCAGATAACTCTGGGCTCGATACTAGTGCTGAGGGTGAGCTCTGTATGAAACACGTCACCTGTGTTGGTTGAAGTCACTAGGGAAATGAGTGCCAAAACCATGGTGAGATACCATTCATGCCCACTAGAGCGGCTAGAACCAGAGAGCACGCAGTAACCGGTGTGGGCCACGCCGTGGAGAAATCGGAGCCCTCATAGATGCCGGTGGAAATGTGAAATGGTGCAGTCTCTTTGGAAAAGTGTGGCAGTTTTTCAACACGTTAAACATAGTTACTGTAGATTTATTGGTAACTGCTGCCCTTCCAGTCCTACTATGTACAGAAGAGGAATGAAAATATATGTCCACGCAAAACCTTGTACATGAATGGTCATAGCAGCATCACTCATAACGGCCAAAAAGTGGAAACAACCTAGCTGCCCGTCAACTGAAAACTGGATAAGTAAAATGCGATATGTCCCTACAGCGGAATATTACTTGGCATTAAAAGGAATAAAGTACTCACACATGCTAAAATACAGATGAACCTCGGGGCGCCTGGGTGGCTCAGTTGGTTAAACAACTGCCTTCGGCTCAGGTCATGATCCTGGAGTCCCGGGATCGAGTCCCACATCGGGCTCCCTGCTCAGCAGGGAGTCTGCTTCTCCCTCTGACCCTCCTCCCTCTCGTGCTCTCTATCTCTCATTCTCTCTCTCTCAATTAAATAAATAAAATCTTTAAAAAAAAAAATAAAAAAATAAAAAAATAAAAAAAAAATAAAATACAGATGAACCTCAAAAACATGACGCTCAGTGAAAGAAATCATTCAAAAGACCACATATTCCATGACTCCATTTATATGAAATGTCCAGATTGGGCAGAGCTGTAGACAAAAATAGCTTTAGTGATTGCCTAACACTAGGGTGTGTGAATGCAGGTGAGGGAGAAATGGGGAGTGGCTAATGGGCATGGGGATTTCGGGGCAGGGGGTTCCTAAAATTAAGTGATGGTTGCACAACATTGACTTGTACACTTAAAGTGGCTCAGTTATCATATGTGATTATATCTCAATAAAACTATTAAATATTTGGCAGCAAATGTTAGACCATTTTTTGAAAGGTTAATTTAAACAATGCTTTGTACATTATTAATCGTCCACTTAGATCTTTTCACGGTTCTCAAAAGTGCCCTAATGCAGCCAGAGAGGAGAGGAGAGGAAAGAGAAGGAGTTGTAAAAATTCATTATTTGCAAATATGGATCACTTTCAGTTTTAGGATCATCTGAGGAAACCTCTAAAAACAGGCTTTTCAGTGGAGCTGTGTTTGCTTTCTCCCCAAAGTATTCACTGAACACAAGTAAAAGGGAAAGAAACATGAAGCTATTTACTGATAGTTCAGGAATTCATGCCTTCATCAGATACAAACTGAAGGCTGCAGAAAGCCTGAGTTGTGAATTATAAAAAGTTCTCGGTTTATCTCAGTATATTCTTTTCCATAAGCGTGTGAGTTGCCTTCATCCTCCCAGAATAGTGTTTTCTCAGTAGAGCTCAGTAGATGCTTATTTAAATGAAATGTACAGCTGAATGGTGTCCAAGACCTTCAGGAATTTAATAATAAAGGTGGTCCTGCAGGTGTATCATTTTGACTTCATATGAAGGACTCTGGGTTAAAGAAAAAGTACAAACAAAGCAATGAGGGGGTGATAAAGTAGGTGCTTTTACCTTTCAGATAACATAGAGAAGGCCTATAAGAGACACCTGAGTCATTGGCTAAGTTTTTTTTAATAGTTTATGAATTTAAATTCTGTTTCATAACATTAAAGATTCTCTCTAATGTGCTTCCCTTTATGGTTTGTTATATTTAAGTTTATATAGACTCTCTTAAAGGTTGACTTTGAGGGCCATGTTCATTGTTTTTATTTTTGTTCTCAAACCCATTTCTCATTTTGGTACAGATATGGAAAAATCCCACTTTACTCGAGATCCCTCCCAGCTGAAAGGCATTCTTATTCGAGCATCATTGAAGAAAAGCACAATGGGATTTGGTTTTACCATTATTGGTGGAGATAGGCCTGATGAGTTTTTACAAGTAAAAAATGTGCTGAAAGATGGTCCTGCAGCTCAGGATGGGAAAATTGCACCAGGTAATGAATTTCTCAGAAAGATTTGAAGAGCAGTGATGCTGTAATAAGAACTACGGTGATGATGACTAACAATGTAATAAAAAAATAATAATTAATTAATTAATTTAATTTAAAAAACTACAGTGAAAAGATTTCATTTACATATATATTTATAAAACTGATATATAATAAATATGTATTTACATATATAATAACTATATGTACATATACATATCGCTTATATATAGAGAGAGAACTAGATTACACTACTGGGGAGGGAGATTCCTGTATTAAAATAGTTATCCTCTAAATTCAATGCATACTAGTTTTGAGGAGGGCCATTTTTTATAAATAAGTGTACAACTAGAGAAAGCATATTAAATGTATTGATTTTTTTGAGTAATTTGTATCATCTCGAGATAACTCCTCTAGTGTGCTAAGATAAAGATTGATTAACCATCTCAGAGAACTGTTTGGTAGTTTTTCTTCGATGATGTAGGGTACTTTGGGAGCGATCTAAAATGTACCTATAATCTTTCTTGAAAAATGACCCATTGCGATGTTTATAGTGAACAAATGATGTCCCACGGTTTTTTCTCCTGTTTTGTTTTGTTTGATTTGGTTTGGATTTTGCTTCCTTAGTCTTACTGGTTGTTAGTAAAATTAAACTCCTATGTTAAGAATTATAGACATGAAATTACCATTTTTACAGAGCCATATAAATCTGTCCTTTTTATAGTTTTCCCTAAGTCTTGGTAATTGTTAGATATTTTTATATGGCTGACAGTTTTTATGGCTGAGGGGGTTAGAGGAAGTTCAAGAACAATTACAGTTATGGGGGAGGCTTGAGCACTTTTTCCTAGAAGGATGTTACTATGCCAATAGGGTCGCTTCTTAGACTATTTGCTAATGCAAATGTGTCCCCCCATTTGGACGATTCAGTTGCCATAGTATTTTTGATGGCACATATCAACTTATTTTCATTTAGGATATGGCATCTCTCATATTATGCTTTCCCACTTGACTTAAAACATGAAGCTTAAAACAAGAGACTTAAGACTTAAAACAAGAAAAGTTAAAATAATCAGAAGTTATATTTATAAGGAAAATTATTTGTGCTCTTCTTTGACTTTGTAAGATTAACAACCTAGAGAGAGTAAAATTACTAGTAAAAATTTTTAAGCTCTCAGTTTTGACTTTTTTTTTTTTTAACATTTTGTCCACAAAACACATTTGGTAGTTGTTGAATGTGCTGTCAGGGTTTCATAATATAGATGCACATTTGTCTAAAACTGATGTCTAATTTGCATAGCAATACAATACTTCCATGGAAATTAACTTTTACTAGGGGAGGGAAAGTCTAAACTTTTACTAGAGGAGGGAAAGTCTAAACTTTGTTTCTTATTAGTCTGATTTCTGTGTCATCTTAGATTATGAAACACATTCCTGCACACTTTAACGTTTGTTTTTAAATACCATTTATGTTGATTTTTTTCAGGCCTACATGCAATCAGAACAAATTAAAGCACTTTATTTGGCAATAACCTTTTAAATATTCAATATTCAAATAAAAGCAGCAAACAGATGAGACATTAGAGGGCAGGTTTTTAAAGTTAAGGCTGCATTAAAAAAATTCACCACTGATGAATGTCAAATAATAATGATTCTGCCACAAGGTGGTCGTAATAATGTAAAATCAGGAAAGCAAAACCAACTTCTACAAGAATTCGTTTAGCTGACTTTTCAATGTCTTAAATAATACATTCTTTGCTTGTGTTGGATTCTCTTGTCGCTTGTTTCTCCTTTTGAAATCTGAAATTACAATAAATTGAAAATCTCTACGATTAAGAAAGATGTCAAAGGAACATACATTCATAACGTCACATTATTCTAATCTTCAGCCCTGCATTCTTCAAACTAGAATGAATTTTTAAGTACCCTGTAATTACTGGCCTCTTAAAATCAAGAAATAGAAGGTGGTATTGAAAGATCGCCTGTTTGTACAAGTAGCTGATGGAGTTATTTGCTCCTCTTCTATGTACTGAATACCTGCTGCCATGAACCTGGCTTTGTGTGGCCGCTTGGGTATGACTCAGAGGATATACTAACAATGACAGTATGAATCCACAGTTTTTTTTCAAATGATTCCCTTGAGCTTGAGGTCATCACTCTGCTGCAAAGATAATTAAGGTTTCATACATTTATATTCTTTTTAGAGAAGAACCACAGAAGGGAGAATGACGTGTCTGTGTTCGAAATCTGTCTTTTCAGCAGTTAATGAATAGTAAGAGGTTTCCAGAATTCAAATTTAGATGATAAATTTATTTTTGTCCCACCCTGCCCCAACAAAACATTAACTTACTTGGTGGTTTTAATATTTTTAATACGATTATGTCTTAACAGGTGATGTTATTGTAGACATCAATGGCAGCTGTGTCCTTGGTCACACCCATGCAGATGTTGTCCAGATGTTTCAATTGGTACCTGTCAATCAGTATGTCAACCTCACTCTCTGCCGTGGTTATCCACTTCCTGATGACAATGAAGACCCTGTTGTGGACATTGTTGCTGCTACTCCTGTCATCAATGGACAGTCATTAACCAAGGGAGAGACTTGCATGAATACTCAGGATTTTAAGTCAGGAGCAGTGGTCCTGGACCAGAATGGAAAGCCGGGACCCACCTTGATCAGTGACCGTCTTAATGGACCATCGGACCCGAGCGAGCAGCGAGCATCCCTGGCATCATCGGGCAGCTCCCAGCCTGAACTAGTGACTATCCCTCTGATTAAGGGCCCTAAAGGCTTTGGGTTTGCAATTGCTGACAGCCCAACAGGACAGAAGGTCAAAATGATATTGGATAGTCAGTGGTGTCAAGGCCTCCAGAAAGGGGATATAATTAAGGAAATTTACCATCAAAATGTGCAGAATTTAACACATCTCCAAGTGGTAGACGTGCTAAAGCAATTTCCTGTAGGTGCAGATGTACCATTGCTTATCTTAAGAGGAGGTGAGTAAAAGCACAGGGAAAAATCTTCATTGTTCATGCATTTGTATCTGTTAATCGTCCTTCCTTCCAGGGCAGAATCTTTTTCCCCAGCAGACTTAACTGGTAATTAGTGTGCCTTTTCCTCAAGGTTCTGTCTGACTGCTTCCATAAGCAGTATCTTTTGCAGCAGCTTTTTTAGTTATTAGTGGTTTCATTCGTGTCCATTATGGATTTTCTTTCCTCTATATTCTTTTTAAAATTAATCTGATTTATGGCTTTAGTGATTAGAGAGAGTCACAGTATTGTGCTACTTCAGATGAAATATATCCTCTTAATTTCATTTTCTCTGTTGATGGCAGTAATAGAAATTGACGCTTTCCACTGGTGGTTCTTCATCTGGGCCTCTGTGATGTGCTGAGGATGTTTCGAAAGAGCTAGCATCTCTGTGAATAAGCAAAATGTTGGTTGGTGTGTAATCGCTCTGTAAAGCAATCATGGTAGTTCGTGCTCACGAAGCTTTTCTCTTAAGCTTTAGTCTCTGTCCGTAAATGTTAGTTAAACCCCACAGTCCTCGTGTGAGAGAAATATAATTTTTATTTTCCAGGGTCATCAGCTGACCTGAGCTGCTCACAGACATAAATCCAGGTCCAAGGACTAATCATAAAGTTGCATTTTGATGGGCTTTCTTAAATCCCTACCTATGAATGACTAGTATTTTAAAGAATAAAATTTAGCCCTTCACCCTTCTCTCTCTGGCTTTTAGTTTTCATTTTTGAGGCAAATGAGCAATTTAACTTCATTGGGATATTTTTCACTTTTCTCACTTCTTTGAACTATTTTTGTTTCTTCTCTGGATGATATGGTAGAATGTGCTCAGAGTAAGGGGAGGATCTCTTTGTGAGTGCTGGAGAGTTATCCAGGATTCCAACACCTTTAACAAAGAGACCAGGGTTTGGTGTCAGACAGGCCTAATGTCAGTTTGCTGCCTTGCTACCTGTTCTATGGTATGAGGAAGTGATGTAATCTGTTTGAGTCTTCGTTGACATGATCTATAAAGTGGTAGTAACGCTTATGCCTTAGAATTGTCGCAAAAATGAAGTGAGATAATATATGTACCAAGGCCTGGCACACAGCGGGTGTTGGCCATAGAATTTACTAATCTACTAAAAGTCGAAGCTAGTTTTATCATAAACATGAGCAGTATTTGTGATCTGGAAATGTTTCCTCTGTTTTTAAAATCTGGCTCATTTTTTTTAAGGTCCTCCTTCACCAACTAAAACTGCCAAAATGGTGAGTATACAGTGGTCCTCACATGCTTCTTCCCAACACAGCGAGAGAGATACGGTGTCCCCTTCCATAATAGCAGCGCTCTGTGGTGGTGATTATCCACTGGGAGAAGTGAGAAGGCATCCTGCCCTGGGCCTGTGTCAGAAACTCTGGGAAAGCGTGTGAGGTAGAGAGGAGGCGTGCTTTCCTGGTTAAGTATTTCTACCGAATGCTAGCGGCCCATACTGCCAGCAACCCTGTCCTCTAAATGGTAAAGCGTGAAGACACCAAAGTGCCCACTTTTAGAAGTCCTTCTGCTTTCTTTGTGTTTCAGAGGAGCAAGGGTAAGGAAGTAGCTACGTGTTAGGGCAGAGGATAGATCCTGTGACATCTCCCTGATGCCCAAAGAGAAGGAGCGGTAGCTTCACATCATTTCCTGGGGACATTAAATACCCACATTGAGATAACCTTCTCACAATGGACTACACCAGACTTTCTAGAATAACTGTGGCCTCTGTGCTCAATTTGCTTGTTATCAAAGTGATAGGCTGTCAGACTTGTAACAGTGTTTTCTTTGGCATTCTTCTGAATAACTGAGTAGCCTATTTAAGGACCTGTATAGCAAATGAGATCTAAAAAAGGGTACAGCAAACAGTGCCAGGAAAGAAAGTGGGCTAGGGGCAGACATGTAGCTGCCAAAATATCCACAATTACGTGGGTCTGGCTATAAAGACAATTATATATACAATCTTAATTTAGTTCTAGTTTGCTTGATTTGGAGTCTGTCATCTCGCAATGGAAAGATGGGCTTCCATAACCATCCACCATAGGCTATTAAAGGAAAGACCAACTGATAGAAAATGGGTGAATTCTTTCTAATCCACCCAGTAGGATCCTCTACAAATTTGCTGTCTTATGGCTCAACAGGAAAGAAACATTCTGCACTTGTATAGACTGTACCACTTAAAACCAGTGTGAACAGAAATACTTTTTTGCCCACGTAGTTAAAATTGCACTGTGTTTTTCTACGTTTCTCTGGTTCCTTTGGTCATTGTTTTTAACTCCCGTGCTACCGTTCTATTTCATAATGGATGCCAGTGCAGCCGTGGTGACCCTAATGTTTTATTACCAGTGACCTCGTGCTGCTCTGCCAGAACCCTAGGACATGTCGGGGGGAGGGGAGGCAGCTGCTCTCGTCTTCCTGCCACCCGACGGGGTGTGGGTCAGTGACTCTGGGACAGCACGTTGCAGGGACCGTCCTCACCCCACTCCCTCCTGCATCCTAGTCCGCATTTGTTGTTTTATAACTGACATCCCTAATCTGCCTCCCCCAGCAAGAATGCAGAAGAACAGGCTCTTCTCAAAACCGTATTTATTTTCTCAGGCTGTTTATTGGATCCTTTTTTTTTTTCTTTTCAGATTTTATTTAAATCATTTTGCCTGGCTTTTATTTTGGAAAAGAATGGGAAAAATACGAACATAATGCCCCTGGTTGCCCTTACCAGATTGTCCCACACAATTGTGCGTTTTTCCTTCATGTATTTGAATTGGCCATGCCGGGTTTTCATAGTGTCCTCTTTGTAGCCCACATTAGAGGTAACACTTCCTACTCCATTTTCTGAGCAAGAATGGCATCTCAAACATCTGCACTGGGAATTAAATTGAGTGAGTGGGGCTGTGGGGCGGATCAAGAGCTTCACGAGGCTGTTCACTTGGGGCCCCCCTCTTACCACACGCTGCCGCCCTGGGTTGTGTCCTTGCTCATCTTCTTCTCAAAGTCCGTTTGTGTCTTGGGGGTGGAGGAAAGGGCAAGATCATGTAAACTTAGGACTAATTCAGGCCCTTCGGTTGACAGCAGTATAAATCTTTTCTCATTTAAGTTAAATATGTTTTAACCAAGGGTACACGGCTATGAAGGTAAATTCCTACAAGACTTTGCAGTGGCTTTGACCCTGCCATACCCCTCCCCACCTGTCATCAGTTGACACATCTGGTTCACACAATAGTTTTATGAACTAATCGACCATCTGGTTTTCTAAAATACTAAGTAAGGCCCTTTTCCATTTCAGAAAACAGACAGAAAGGAACATTCAGGAAGTTTGGAGGCCATAAATGAGCCCATTCCCCAGCCTATGCCGTTTCCACCCAGCATTATCAGGTCAGGATCCCCGAAATTGGATCCTTCTGAGGTCTACCTGAAATCGAAGACTTTATATGAAGATAAACGTAAGTAGCTGTGGAATATTTCAGGACAGCATGTGACAAAATCACTTTGAATTTTCTAAAAACTGGGACCTTTCCATCTTTCAAAACCATATTGAAAAGTTATTCCTTCATCCCCATTTTCATGACTCTGGGCTTCTTCCATTTCTATTCAACATTCGTTCATCCATTTTTTTTCAAAACCAGGGATTAAGTACCTGCTATCTTCCTAACACCAAAGTAGGTGTTAGGAATATAGAGATAAATAAGTTCCATAGGCCCTGCGCCCAAAAAGATGATTAACCCTAAATGGAAAAGACAAATATGCAATCAAAGAAGTATGTATAAATAAGTCCAAATAAGCCTCACAGGGATCCAAAGGAGGAGACGGTCAATTTTACCACTGGGGGTGGTAGGAAGTGTCAGATCCTGCTTCACGTAGGAAGTTAAGCCAGAACCACAGCTTCAAAGACGAAGAGGTGTTTATGAGACAGAGAAAAAGGGAAGGAAAGCAGGAGTAACCTTTGCACATTGACCTTGCACGGCCCGAGTTCTACAAGTAGCCCAGTTCGGCTGGGTGCATTTGGCACAGGAAACCAGAGGGGAGAGCAGGGGCAGGCGAGGCCATTCTGAGGAAGCGGGAGTCCATCATAGAAAGGATGGAGAGCCTCGGAATGGTTTACAGGGATCATCTTGGACTTGCATTTCAGAGAGATTCTCCTGGCGGGAGTAAGAGGGATGGTGAATCAGAGGGTGTGCAGCCTGAGGAGGAAACCAGAGTAGACCGCTCAGAGGAGCCCAGCTGAGAGATGATGAGCAGAGAGCATGCAGAAGACAGAGATTCAGTTTTGTGCTAATTTACTTAAAATGATAAATCTCTTCCAAAGCAAAATTGCAGCTTACATAGGCTTAATTTTTTTAAATTAATTTGTTTCTGAGAAATAGATCTAAATCTACCTTGGAAACTGTGTACACAGGTGGAAATATTATGTATAATCGACTTCATAGTTATTTAACCAGTTCCATAACTTTATCTTGATAGGCCCAGGCCATATTCAGAAAGATGAAAACCAGATGCAAACACAGCAAAGCAATAATTTAAATTAATAGAATTATAGGGAATCACTTTCTTCTGACTTGCCATTGATAGCCTGATGTATTCTTAGTATTGGTAGAAACTACTCAGCCCCTTTAGGCGGCACCCATAAAGTGACTGAGTTGAGCTCCAGAGTCTTCTATCCCTAAAGTTCTATAATTCTAATAGGAATCATGTCTCAAAAGAGACTGCTTCTGAGGAACATTATCAAGATTTACCCTGTACGGTATCTCAGGTTTTATGTAGTTCCCCACCATCTTTCCAGCAAAGACTTCTTGCTTGTGAATAACATCAATATTTTCTTGAAGATCAAATTATTTTAGTTGTGAAGTAGGCTTTCCGGACTTAATATTCTGATGAATGCGACCTGCTCTTGGGGGACAGAATAGGGTGGGTGAAGAGCCTGGACCCTAGAAATCAAGTTGGCTCGAAATCTCAGCTCTGCCGTTTACTTGCTGCCTGACACTGGGCCACTTACCGAGGCCTCAGTTTCCACAGCTAGAAAATGGGGCTGATGATAGGTGTTAGCGATCATTTTCTTTTAAAATAATACCCGTTTGCAAAATTAGGCTAAGCAAATATGGAATGCTTTTCAAAAACAAAGGTATTAGTTTAGGAGTAGAATTAAGGCATTTTATGGGCTCTCTTTTCCTAGGATTTGTCCAACTGTTAATTGAGATAATTTGTACCTATCAAATGCCAAACTTAAATTGGATGTTTCTGTATTTAATATCACAACATTGAATTGAAAGCATTAGGACTTAATGGCAGCATAATGGAAGCGGGGGTAAATGTTTCTGAGCAATCTCGATACAAAGTTTTGTTTAGAGCTGAAAACAAAGATTTAAGATTGAATGTAGTGGTATGTTCTTGTGTAAGTTTTCACCTACCAGAAAGTTCTGAGATTATAGTTTATTGAACTCTATAATATTATCCTACTAAATAATTGCATTGTTTTATTGTAATCCTTTTTAAATAAATCAAAGTATTTTGTTTTACTTATTTATTTGTATATTTTTCTGGTTTTCCTTAGCACCAAACACCAAGGACTTGGATGTTTTTCTTCGGAAACAGGAGTCGGGGTTTGGCTTCCGGGTACTGGGAGGAGAGGGACCGGACCAGTCTGTAAGTTCACATACTTTGGAATTTGGCCATTCCTATGAACTTTTAGGTGGCTATTTGGTAGAATATGGTGGTTTTCTTTTTTTTTTCTAAGATTTTGTTTTCTCTGAGCATCTCATGAATGAGAGGAAGAACTGCATTTCTGTTAGTGTGATGGTCTCCCAGTTACCTTGGTGTGGCTGAGGCTAGAACTGAAGGCAAGAACTGAATATGTGCACTGTAAATTGGGCAGTAGTTAATTTCTGTCTTTCTCTATGTGCCTACAGCTTATTTTCAATTTTTATTTCCCTTTGCCTTTGTTAAATTTTAAGACCTTTGCCTTCTCTAAGAAAGAAGCATCCTGTTTAGCACCATTGGTCTGTCCTTTGAATACTCCATAAACAGGTGGCATGAGCCTTTGCATATTATGTCACTTACTCTTATTAATGGGTTGACATTTTCATGCTCAGTACTTTGCGTGCCATTTCATCTGCTGTACCTATGAAACTAGGAAAATATAAAATAATTGATGTTTCTGTTCAGAAAGCATAAGGGTTATGTTTGTAAAGCATTTAAAATATAGAACTTCGTACACAATTCTCACATAAAGTTTAGAGAACAAATGTAATGGCTTCTATTTTTAAGTTTTGCCCTTAGTTTGAATGACAGAGAAGTAATGTACTTGTTAATCTCAGGAAACAAACTGAGGGTTGCTGGAGTGGTGGGGAGTGGGAGGGATTGGGTGGCTGGGTGATAGACATTGGGGAGGGTATGTGCTATGGTGAGCGCTGTGAATTGTACAAGACTGATGAATCACGGGTCTGTACTTCTGAAACAAATAATGCAATATATGTTAAGAAAAAAAAAAGAAGAAGAAGATAGCAGGAGGGGAAGAATGAAGGGGGGAGTAAGTCGGAGGGGGAGATGAACCATTGAGACGATGGATTCTGAAAAACAAACTGAGGGTTCTAGAGGGGAGGGGGGTGGGGGATGGGTTAGCCTGGTGATGGGTATTAAGGAGGGCACGTTCTGCATGGAGCACTGGGTGTTATGCACAAACAATGAATCATGGAACACTACATCAAAAACTAATGATGTATGGTGATTAACATAACAATAAAAATTATTAAAAAAAGAAGTAATGTACTTGGTAGAGTTGGAGAACATATTTAAGTTTTTTCTGTGTGATATAAGAAAGACATTATCATCATGCTTGGAAGATAGGTGAGTAACAATAACCTTTTAAAATAAAATGACAGTCTTCTTTCTATTTCTGGATAGAACAGTTGATTTATGTATTATAAATATGTTCTAATTAGCCATATTGGCTATAGTTAAAACAATTATAAGAGACATATAAAGCTCAAGGCAGGTCAACTTATACAGGGCAAATATACAATACCTTGATTGTTCTTGGTGGAAGACATGATTTTGTTTTAATGCTTCCTATTTTGTTGGTACATATAGTGGTGACCTAAGACATTTTCAGAGTTTATCTCAAACAACTTGGGAGAAACTCTTCTCTTCAATGTCAGGTTTTAGCAGCTCTGAAACTAGCCCAAACATTCAGGATTCCCTAATTACAGGATTCTAATTGCCGGCAAACAAAATGTGCCAAATCTGTTTGCCTCGATGTAAGTGGACCTCAGGACACTCTGTTCCCCTGAGATATATCTGCTGCTTTGAGATTTAGGAACAAGAAATGTTTCTGGGTTGTATATACTGAATTTCCACTAGTAACCGTATGTAATGGGAGTTTCTTGAGAATTATCCCAATTGCTGTGAACGGTGTGTAGAAAACCTTTGCTGATGCATTCAATACATTTTTGTACTTTTTAGTAGTTACTCCACAGAACTGCATTTTCTGAATTTAATGTCTTTTGTTGTATTGCTTAGAAGTGATAGTGACAGTTTTTAAGTTATTGAACAGCTTTGCATTTTCCACTTTGTGTCTGCGCATCCCTGAAGATCCAGAAGGGATCATGTAGTGTGGTGATGTGAAGCGCCTTTTTAGAGAATGGTCACTTTCTAAGATACTACCTTTCTCAAGTGTTCATAGTTGAACTGCAAAATATGTTAGTTTGTGTAGTACTGGGTCAGGAAGCCTTTAACTTAGTTAAGGGTCGTAGTAGATCTTTGTTGACTGTAGAGACCAATCTACACTTTGTTTTCATATCAGATCTACATCGGGGCCATCATTCCTCTGGGCGCAGCAGAGAAAGACGGTCGGCTCCGTGCAGCTGACGAGCTGATGTGCATTGATGGGATTCCTGTGAAAGGGAAGTCTCACAAACAAGTCTTGGATCTCATGACAACGGCAGCTCGAAATGGCCACGTGCTATTAACTGTCAGAAGAAAGATCTTCTATGGTGGTATGTGAGCCTGTTCCTGCTTTATAGGTTAATCAAGAAACAAAGAGACTTAGTCCATTTTCTATATGGTTTTGCAGGTATTTTAGTATGTTTCCTAGGGTATCAGATAAGCCATTTGGTGTGATCCAGAGCCTCATCATGGAAGGCCATTTAATTTCAAAAGGATCCAGAAATAATACTACTATTAAAGAGACAAAATTTAGGCCTCTGTATTAAGACTATATTCACGTATTGACAGATTTTGCCAAGGTGCTATTGTAGACGGGATTATTAAGTTAAAGACTGTTTTCTTAAAAACAAATATAGTTTTTTAGTCATACCAAGAGATCCCTTGAGCTGAATATAAAAAAATTTTGGATCCTGATGAATTGCTAAGTATTCAAAGAGGCTCCCCTCAAATGTTTCTATTTGAGAATTTTTAATATAATGTCATTTAACATTAAAAAATAAAAACATTTATTGAGTGCTTTACTCTGTCTCAGACATACTGATTCTTTTATTTAGTCTTTACAACACTAGGCTGTAAATACTGTCATTCAGTTTTACAGTTACCCACAGAATGGTTGAGAGACACATAACTGCTGAGTAGTAGGGCCAGGGATTAAAACGGGGAGTTTAATTGTAGAGCCCAGGATCTAAACCATTACATGAGGCTATGAATACATTTTTCTCATCAATAGCTTTGTGACTATTACATTGGAATTTTTAGAAGTGAATTCTCGCCACTTTAAGATTTTAAAAAGACAGCCCTGTAGCACAAGAGTGTAAGCCTCATCGAGGTAGGGATATTTATGCATTTAGTTAACTGCTGTATCCCCCACACATAAAACACAGAATGGACACAATGAATGGACAGCACAGAATGGACATCAACGAATGTTTGTTGACTTGATGAATACTTGCATTACTCTTAAAAATGAGGCACTGTGTTTTTGATTGCAACATCCAAAGGAAAGGCCTGCCTGTTTCCCTAAGTATCAGGCATTTAGAGACTCATACAGATTTTAGTGCAGTGTTGTGTTGGAGTCAGAACATAACCACATGCAGTAAAAAATGTGCTGTTGTACAACCAGAGGCTGGCTCTCTCCTGGAAAGCATCATGAAGAAATTTTGTAGTAGTTTGATATTATTGGAGGCATTTAGCTAATTCATTATAACCACGCATTATACAAAAACAAAACAAAACCTTTATTTTTCATTAATGATTGGATATTGGGCAGCATTTTGTTGAAATTCAAAAACATAATCTCAGAATCATGTAGATTTTGAGCCAAAAGAGCACTTAGAAGTGGGTATTCCTCAAGGGCAGTATATTTTGTTAATGATGGCTCGGATCAAATTATGGCCCAAAATTTGCCTTTTTTTTTTTAATCAGGACTAACTTGTGTTATTCTTTCTTGAATTCTGATGTCATACTTGACTAAGAAAATAAGGTATAAGTTAATTCTCCATTTGCTGGGGATTCCTATGACTTATTCTATGCCTAGGAGAATTGGCTGTTCATGTGGACAGCTTGTCATATGCTGGATGGGGTAGGTGGAGGACTGCTGATGGTTAGCGCATCTGGTATCATCAATCAAGAAGACTGCAGCTGTAAAACACATTCTGTCAGACAAATCCTGTGTTGACAGCTAACTTCTCAACCAGTGAGGGGCAGCACCTCTGCCCTGGTGCAGTGACCCCAGCATCACATTATTCAGTTTTATTATATATATATTGTATATATGTGCTATATACAATATATATATAACATTCGTCCTGCACTAAGTTATATTTAATGTTGATTTTAAAAGGAAGTGTACCGGGTCAGTTTTCATTACCAACTTTTATTAAAATTACTGGTCAGAATCCTCCTGGAATTAAGACAATTTCAAGAATTGGTTTACCATGAACTTTCACGGAAGCTTCAAAAAGCTTCCTTTAAAATGAGAGGACATCATTCTTCCGGTTATACACTGGCAGAGTATTGAAGATGTCAGACACACTGATGCAGCCTGTAGCTGCACCCGATGATGTCCAGAGCTCACGTGGGGGGATTGCTTCTCTAGGCTATAGGTTATTCGAATCTACATTTTCCTGTGAGAGGCTTAGCGCAGAAACACTTTAGTTAACAAAAGTTATGATGTTCCAGAAATATCAGAATTGGTCATGTTTATTATAGAGAAACAACCTGAGGATGACAGCTCTCAAGCCTTCCTTTCAACACAGAATGGCTCGCCCCGCCTGAACCGAGCAGAGGTCCCAGCCAGGCCTGCTCCGCAGGAGGCCTATGATGTAGTCTTGCACCGAAAGGAAAATGAAGGATTTGGCTTTGTCATCCTCACCTCCAAAAACAAACCACCTCCAGGAGGTAAGGGCTGCTGAATCCTACTGTCCCTGCAATTTCAGTTTTCTGAGTCTCCCAATGGGCTTCGTGAAACTAATTAGGGAATTATGTATAAATTGCCTTAGAGACTTATCTTTTTAAGAATGATGAATATTTTCTTTATTTTCAAAACCAGGTAGTCTGAATCTGAACTTCCAAGCCTCAGGTTTAGCTATCATCTCAGATTCCATAACATCAGTCTTAGTGGCTCCATTTGCGCACCCAGATTATACCGTGGCCGGATGTGGGGGGCGTGCCCTATGAGATTCAGCAAAAGCACAATGCTGAGTTTTTTCAAATAAGGAGGCATACGTTTTTGGTTTTTTTTTTAATTAAGAGAAACTGTGTATGCAGAAATGAATTAAATGCTAGAAGTAGTTGAGAAGAAGCAAAACAGATTAATAGAAAAATCTTGACCCAAATATGCCTTAAATAGTCCTTTTGTGTTGTTTAATCATAATTGCCACATTCCAGCTATAAAGGAACCTTCTTGAATGACAAGAGGTATTTTTATCTTTTATAGATGCGTCATTGAAAGGTAAAAATTTTGTCAGAATTTTAAGCATTAATCTAAATATCCTGAATCCAGTTTAACAGAATACTGTCACCTGGGAAGGATGAATATATATATTAATTCCTTCAACAAAGGAGGACTTACCTCTAGTCTGTTCAGGGCTGTTACAGTCCAGCAAATTAAATATTTGTCTTGCCTTTATATTTCTAAGAAATAATCATCTTTAAATATAATTGTAAGATCCAAATGAATATAAGATGAGAACCAGAAAATTGAGATTGATCTATCATACTTGTCTGGTGACTTTATTTTTCCAAGTCAAATGGTAAACATCTTTGACCACAGGAAAATGTGCGCTTGCCTTTGCTGGTGGATTTGATTATATCCCAAGTAGTGAGATCCTCTTAGACTAGAGGGTCACTAAAATCTTAGAAAAAGAAGAAAACCCTTGCAGGAGTGTCGGAAGCCAAGCCAATTTGCAGAAATCTTGCTAAAATTAATGCAAGTGTGTGAAGGAAGAAGATTCTGTGACATGGATGAGTTATTACTATAGTATCAGGTCACTGCTCACGGATACTAGTTTCCATTTTCCAAAAGCAGTTGCTATGGTAACACTTGGAACTGGAACTGTCACTGATGCTCTGAGGATGATTATGTGGCCTGTGTTGGAAAAATGAAAGAAAGCAGATTTTTGGTGGATTTTGTATTAAAGCTTTGGAAATCAGTATTTCCCAAACCAAGTAACCATTTTAGATAACCGTATCTTTATTCTCATGCCATCCAGTAATCCCATGCATTCAGATTAACAAAAACAGTGCAAGATTATTACTCAGTGTGAGAGATGCTAGCCGCTTTTTATACTAAAGAGACTCCTTTTCTAGGACTGCTGAAATTAGGGGAGAGTCTAGGGCCTACCATAAAACAAAGCAGTGTAGAGGAATTCAGTAAAATAAGTTGCATTACTTATATAGGTTTAACCTTTTTATATTATTCGTTTATATTTGAAATGTATGTTGCATCTTAATGTGTATTAAGTATATTCTTTTTGTGTTTGTCTATATTTAAATTTTTCAAATATTTTTATATTTACTCACTTTAATTGTTTCTTACTATTTTGATGGTTTTGTGTACCATAGATGCTGAATCTCTGTGTAAGATAGTGTCATTAGCTGTTGGGCTCTGTAATCAGACAAACTCAGATTCAAGCTCTGCTTACGTCTTTTAATAGCTGTCTGATCTTGGGCAAATTACTTACCCTCCAAGAGTTCCAATTTCCTCTGTAAGATGAGGATGATGATAACACCTCCTGTCTCATACGAGTCTGAGGATTAAAGGAGATCATGCATGTGAGCCCTTAGCCTGGACCTTCAATAAATGTTAGCTGCTGGTGCTTGTTGGAGCTTCTGCTGCTATCACCATCGTGTTATTTATAAAATTGTTTGGCACTGTCTCTTGCTTTTTTTTCTCTTTAAGAAACTTTAAAAAGTTTATCAATACTTGAGTAACGAGATGGGAAAGAAAGCCCAAGTAAAATGTAAGATCGAGGCAGCAGTTCATGTGTAGCAGGAAATGAGTGTTTGCAGCTCATTAATTATCACCCTGAATGGTAAATTAGGCTTCGGGTGCCCGTGAATTTTATATCAAGTACTTGAGTTTTTCAGTCATTGGTGCAAACCCAGAATTGGTCATTCCACTGAAATGCTAGTTGATAATCTCATGGAATGCTGAGCCCTGCAAGTCGTCTTCTTGGGATCCCATGCGTCTCGTCTAGATAAAAGGAGGGCCCTGGGGGGCTTGGATGAGGAGCTTTCACTCCCGAAGACTGAGCAGTCCTGCACACTGCATTACACAGAAGGTGTGCTTTAGACAAGAGTTAGCACTGGTGAAAAGGCAGGAAAGCTCTCAGAATAGATCATTCTTTATAGACCTTGTCTTGGTGTAGATTGGTAATCTGTTCAGGATAGATTCTTTCTTTCTTCTGATTAAATGTATTTTCTGGTGACATCTGTCCCAAGCAGAGTTCCCGGCAGCATCTCTGACACCAGTCATGAAATTCTGAGATTCTCGGGGCGCCTGGGCAGCTCAGTCTGTTAAGCATCTGCCTTCAGCTCAGGTCATGATCCCAGGGTCCTGGGATCGAGCCCCACATTGGGTTCCCTGCTCAGTGGGGAATCGGCTTCTTCCTCTCCCCCCTCACCCTCCTTGTACTCTCTCTCTCTTTCTCTCTGACAAATAAATAAATAAATAAAATCTTTTAAGAAAAGAAAGAAAGAAGGAAGGAAATTCTGAGATTCTCTGTGGTTGACTTTTTCAAAGATCAGGGATCTGGTCCAGCACCCTTACTGCCCTAGCCCCAGCTTGTGCAAGTACTCAGTGAACAGAGTACCTAGAAAAGACCTCTATTTAGGATGAAAAGGGCTTGGCTAGTTTTTGCTTTGCTAGTGCTTCAGAGGTTTTAGTGTTTCTTTTCTTTAGCATATACTTTTCAGTTCTGGTTGCAAAGGATTCTTTGAGAGGGGACATTTCCAGTTACTGTCCTTTCTTTTCCCGAAAGAAATGTTTTAAGAGCACTGAAGTGACCTCAACAGCTGGACAAGCCAGGCTGGGAGAAGATTTAGGCCAAAGATGAATGAAGACGGATAAATTGGTTTTATGGCAAACGCCTGTGGACTTTGTAAACCAACAAAAGCAAGGCAGGACTTCAGACTTTTCCCTAGCTATGTGTACTCTACAGGGTTACCTTGAAAACTTGCCAGTCCGTTCAAAAGTTATCCTTCTACTGGTCTCTTTGCTGTTTTTAACTGTTTTGATAATACAGCTGTCAATGCCGAGACTATGATAATCTGACTACTTTTACCTTCCTTCACCCAGACAACTAACCCTTCGGGAAGTTATGTCCCAAGATTTGCTGATTCCTTTTGAGCCCATTGCTCACATGATGAGAAAGGAACCACCGAGATGTCAGAGATTCATTTTGTTTGATGCTTTCCCAAGTCTGAACAAACCCTTTTCAGCGTGCCAAGGGGCTGAATGATTTTCTTCTCAGGGCAACTAGAATAACAGCATGTACCAGCAGATCTTTTCTAAGAAGGAGAATAACTAAGGTATTGAGGTAGAAGGTCACCACAGGGCCACTGTCTGGTTCAGCATATGTTCCTTTTTTTTTTTTTAAAAGATTTTATTTATTTATTTGAGAGAGAGATAGCATGAGCAGGGAGGAGAGGGAGAGGTAGGCTCCCCCCTCGCCCCCGCCGCCCCTGCCAAGCAGGGAGCCTGATGCGGGGCTCGATCCCAGAGTGCCAGGATCATGACTTGAGCCAAAGGCAGACGCTTAACCGACTGAGCCACCCAGGCGCCCCTCAGCAGACGCTTCTGACCTGCTGTCCTCTCTGCAAATTGCTCATACCGCCTGGCACAGGACATGGCCTGTACTGCTCAGGTGCTTTTCTAATTACTTTAAGGAAAATGGTATAATAAGTGCTTGATATAATTCAGAGCTAAAAGGCACTTGCTTCCAACATTGACTTCCTCTATTTTAGGATAAAATCTCTCACTGTAGAATCTTAGAAGAGCCAGGGAATGGCCCTGTCTGTGGGGCTATAAATCACAACCAAGAATAACTTCCAGTTCAAATGAAGGCCTATTAAAACATCCCTGACATATACCTACTATGACTCAGAAATACTAGTAAGGAACCCATTTTACTATGAAAATTAAACATAGAGTGCCATTTTAAATATTAATTATCCCTATTCGTTAACAGTCAATAGTCAGCAGAAGGCAAATGCCCGACAAGATTACTGATCCAGGTAAGGAAATTCTTAAGGAACATGGGAGGAACATTTCTTAATACAAATGCCCCTTATTCAGAGGGGTGAAAGATATTTTGACAAGATTTCCTGAGTGTCTGAGAACTCGTTTTAAGCCATAATAGCAAAGTGTCTTCATAGTCTAGGAAAGCCTTCAGCATCATGAACCAGTAGAACTGTACGGTGTGTCTTTGCAAATGTCTTAGACTCTGCTTTGTGCATTCAGGGCAGGATTTTATCCCTGAACCAAATAATCTCAACGTTAAACATTTCATGTTCTGATTCCCCTCACCTTCCCCAATTTAAAAAAATCTAAAGGCACAAACAAAAGGAATTTTGCTACAGAACTAAGTAGGATTTAACAGTCAGTCATTTCACCATGCCTGGATTTCTGAGCAGTAACTTCTGAGTTCTAACCTTGAATTTGAACTTCATTTATTTACAAGACCCCCTGTGGGAGTAAATGCCCCTTCAGCAGAACCAAAGATGGTCTCATTGTGGCAGTTTCCGAAATAGTCAAAATAGGATGCAGCCTCAATGGCCAACAATAAGCGAGAAGCATCAGTTTCATGAGGGAGTATCATAAATATCAGGGAGGTCAGTAGCCTTCAAACAGGACTGTTAGGAAGGCAGTATAAAAATTGGAGAAAGGTTTATGATGAGTGGAAAACAGCACAGAGGTTTATGTGCTATGACTGCAGCTATGTAAGGAGTGTGTATGCATGTGGGCCCAGAGCGGACGACAGTATGGGGATAGTTATAATTGGATAAGATGTTCGCATGCGATACTTTTTTGCTCTACCTTTAAAGAATGTGTTTTGATGTTATGTTGAATTTTTATTTTTTTTAATTTTTTTTTTAAAGATTTTATTTATTTGACAAAGAGAGACAGTGACAGCAGGAACACAAGCAGGGGGAGCGGGAGAGGGAGAAGCAGGCTTCCTGCCGAGCAAGGAGCCCAATGGCGGGGCTCAATCCCAGGACTCTGGGATCATGACCTGAGCCCAAGGCAGACGCTTAATGACTGAGCCACCCAGGCGCCGCATGATGTTGAATTTTTAAATGATGATAAATCCAATGCTAACGTATCTTAAATAAGGGAAAAACCTGGGTGTTTTCTTCCCCCTAGTTATTCCTCATAAAATTGGCCGAGTCATAGAGGGAAGCCCAGCAGATCGCTGTGGAAAACTGAAAATCGGAGATCACATCTCTGCGGTGAATGGGCAGTCCATTGTTGAACTGTCCCATGATAACATTGTTCAGCTGATCAAAGACGCTGGCGTCACCGTCACACTAACGGTCGTTCCTGAGGAAGGTAAGGAACCAGGCACCTCGCCTTGCACAAGCTCGTGTGAGCGGCACGAGTGGTGGCCCTTTCTCTGTGTGCTGGAGAAGCAAACACCCAGAAGGGAGAGAAATTGGTCATACTTCTCAGATCTTACTTTCTTAAAATAATGTGTTCAGTGTCTGCTTGCTTGAGTGAGAGGAAATCCTCTAAAGATTCAAAGATAGTCACTGTTGATACCGAGCCTTTCTTGTCAGAGCCGAGCCCAGGGCACCCCTCCCAGTGACCGGGGCTTTGTTCTGGGGAGCCGCTGTCTAAGTGGGGGGACGGGCAGTACGTAGGAATGGCCGGGAAATAGGGCATAAAATGCATCTAGTGTCTTGCCTTTTCGTCATTAAGGGTTTCTAATTAGGAATTTTGAATAGCACCCGTTCGGGCTCTTTGTTCATGAATTACAAGGTAAGGGTTACATAATGCGCCTCTCATTTTTCCCGAGTTTGCAAAACGGAGGAGGAGAAGCCCCAGAGAGCGGAATTATGCAGAGTCCGTCCATCTTACCTGTTAAAATCCCTTGTACTGTGATGTGTGCTCATGCCCCACGGTGCCCCGTGGCCCTCTAGTGTCGTCAGCGTTGGGGTCTTTTTGCTCTTGATTCTTCCATTCTTTGCTCTGCCCCTGTCTCCTCCGCTCGTTCATAGCGAAGGTAGTACGTGACTCTCCTGCTGTCCCAGCGCCCACAGGGGCATTTGCACCTGCGCGTCAGTGCCCCAGCCGCTCGGGGAGGCCTTTTCCAGTTCTCGGACCCGGTGACATCCCCGCCCCGGCCCATTTCCCTTTTCTCGTCCGGTCCACACTCTGCCCAGACTCTGTCCCAGACTCTGCTACTCCTTCCTCCTAAAATCCTCCTCCAGAGAAGCCCGAGTGCTTTCCCACTCTCTGCACAGAAAGCGGTTTATGAGTTTGCTCCCAGCCACCTTTTACATCGAACTCCCAGGGTTCCTTCCGGAGCCACTCCCGAACGAGGCCTCTGCGGCCTCTGCGCCCACGGGCTGCCCCCCCGGCCCCTGCCCCATGAGCCCCCCCCGCACTCCGCTGCTCTGCAGTTCACTGAGCATTGCTCCTGCCTGACGGTCTCCCTGCCGAAATGCTCTTTTGAAGACAAAGAGAATATTATCAGTTGACTGTGATTTTAGTAGGCCGTCAGTAAATATTTTTTGAATGAAGAAATGAGTTAAATGGATGAACGAACATTCATCCCCTCGATGAGGGGTTGAGGAGATGAATGAACAAAGGGACAAAGTAAAAGTCAGGAGACTTTCAGTTCTATGCCAGTACACAGCAGAAGCGTTAGAAACCCAATAGAAGAAGTGAGGCCTTTGACAGAGTTCAGGGACACTTATCAACTAGTTGGATAACCTGAAACAAGCCAGTTCATGTTTCTACCCTGCAGGTTTTTATCTATGGAATGGGGATGATAATGTCTATTTCAGGATCTCCGTGAAGATTACAGGTGAAAATGTACCCAGTCTGCATAAGTACTCTGAGGTGCTCATCTAATGGTAGCTGTGTCATTTCACCCCACCTTTGCATGGCTGACCCCCGCATCTAGGCCTCTGCCACAGCTCACCACCTAAGGAAAGAGTAGTCATATTTAGTGAGCACTTAACGATGTGGCAGGTGTTACCCCAAACGCTGGATATCTGTTCACTTATTTCATGCTCACACTAATCCTAGGCAGGCACTATTACTTTCCCATTCTGTAGATGAGGACACTGAGCCCCTGAGCAGTTAGAGAACTTGCCCACGGTCATAACACTCATGACAGAAACGGTGTAGGAGTCCGCAGACTAGCCCCAGGACCTGCGCTCGTGACAGCTATGCCTTCCCCAACCACAGTATCTAGAATAACCCTGCCCGCCCTGGTGCTCTCACAAGCCCGCCCCACTTGACTTTGCTTCCTTGCACTGATCTCTACCTGAGATGATGTAAGCTGTGGTTTATTGCCCTCTCCCCCTGCCAGAATGTAGAGTCACAAGATTCCTGAAATTAGAGGTCTTGTCATGTTCAGTGCTGAATCCCAAGGGCCTAAAACAATGTCAGGCATGTAGTAAGTGCTCAATAAAAAAGTTCTTGAAGGACTGTTGTTACTTAATGTGATTTGGGTCAGGTTTCTTTGTCTCCATTTCTTCACCGTGATTTCTTTACTACGATCTCCAGAGCCTGCTTTTTATTCTTAAATTTGTTCTGTGACCCACAAAGAAAAGCCGCATCGGCATCCCAGGAGATCACATTTTAGGTCTGTTTGGAGAATGAGGTCTTACACTTACATCAGCATGCCTGGCGCACGGCAGCAAGAGAAGCTCCCCGAAGTAGTGGGCCTAGCAGTCCTGGGGCTCAGTGTTTCTCTAACCATGTGTCGAAAGGACCAGTGACTTTTCCAGTCCACCACAGCCAGCATTTTTGTAAAATACATAAAAGTTAAATGAAAAATAAAAACGAAGACATAAAATCATTATGTCAAGTCATTAGAAAATGTTCTAAATGCTTACTCTCAATATCTATAGACATCTTACTGCTGACTGACCCAAGAACCACACACTCAGTAGCCCTGGGATAGAGGGTTTGGTAATAGAATTAGAATTTTTTTTTTTTTTGCCAAAATTTCCTTTTATCATTGATGGTATTTTCTCTGAGAGGTTATCCAAAATTGCTCAGGCATTTTTCTTAGAGGAAAAATGAATTTTGACACTATGGTCCAAATACTTCTGGACGTACTCAAGATTTTCTATATAGTGCCAATCAGTGTTTAGGAAAAATAGAACAGTGGAAGGAAACCCCATAGCAGTACATGCCTTAAAGTCTAGTTCAGGGACACCTGGGTAGCTCAGTCGGTTAAGCATCTGCCTTTGGTTCAAGTCATGATCCCAGGGTCCCTGGATCGAGCCCCATGTCGGGCTCCCTGCTCAGCAGGGGAATCTGCTTTTCTCTCTCCCTCTGCCCCTGCTCATGTGCTCTCACTCTCGCTCACTCTGTCTCTCAAATAAATAAAATCTTAAAAAAAATAAAAATAAAAAATAAAGTATTTCATATGTAGGCACAGCCTGTTAAAATGCAATCACATTTGACACGTAAAAATCACATTTCAGCATTACACCTTATTTTATTGTATACTCAAGTGTTATTAAACTATGAAAACATTCAGAATCTCTTCTTTTTCTTGGGAAAAAAGTCGAAAGTGTCTCTTCTGTCCATAAAAATCCCATTTGTGGAGTTTGTAAGTCTTCCAAGTTTCTCATTGTATTCGGTATGAAATCTATCAACTGCACTGAAGAGTCAAATGAATATTTATTGCCCTAGAGCTGTTTTCAGAAATCACACCTTCAGATCAGTCGGTATTTCCCCTCGGGTGCTCCTTCCCTACTGCCCAGAAGCCATTCACTGTTCGTAGATAAAAGACAGCTGGAAAAAGAAAAACCTGGTCCTTCCATTCTGTTTTCCCCTTTTACCAGATACTGTTGAATAGTTACGGTTTTTTGCACCAGGGAAGTGGTTAACCAAGTTCCCAAGCCAGACAACCAAGTGTCACGTCTGCTCTAACACTCCACTGGTCGGTGGCTCGAGGCTCCCAGCCTTGTCAGCAGCCCGGCCACCGTGCCGACCTATGTCCTGGAACGGGACGGAAATAGACCGTGCCTGGCTCTTCTTGCTGATCGTAAAGAAATCTTTTCATCATACTGTTTTTCCACATTGATTTCTACTTTCGTGCCAGGGCCTGGTCATCCCATGTTTTTAGGGTTTTTTTTTTTAAGATTTTATTCATTTATTTGACAGAGAGAGAGACAGCGAGAGAGGGAACACAAGCAGTGGGAGTGGGAGAGGGAGAAGCAGGCTTCCCGCTGAGCAGGGAGCCCGGTGTGGGGCTCGATCCCAGGACCCTGGGACCATGACCTGAGCCAAAGGCAGACGCCTAACGACTGAGCCACCCAGGCGCCCCCATCCCATGTTTAAGAGTGACACAGGTCACCCTAGCTCCTGAGGACCGCGTTAGGACAGCTCTGATAGCGTTGCCACCAATTTTTGGCTTTGTTTTCCATTTATTTATCTGCTTGTTCCCTTTGTCTCTATTTTCCACTGTCATTTCTCTCCCTACTCCCACTGGCAACCATTCCAGTGTGTTGTGTGTGCCTCGGGTTATTTTTAAAATACATAATTGTGTGTGTGTTGACATTTATTTTTGAGTTACATAAATAGTATTGTGCTATAGATTTTATGTTGGTTTTCTTCTCCGAATTCTCAGAACCATATGTTTCTTTAACGTCACGTTATTATTCCAGGATCCGATCCAGGGTCTTACAGGGCATTTATTTGTCACATCTTCTTTTTCCTGTGAGTGTGACATGGTAGCTCGTTGTGGTTTTGATTTTTGTTTCCCCGACGACTAGTGATGTTGAGCCTTTTCATGTGCTCTCGGCCATCAGTATATCTTCTGTAGAGAAATGTCTGTTCAGATATTTTCCTCACTTTTAATTGAGTTGTCTTTTTTTATTGTTGAATTGTAAGACTTCTTTGTATATTCTGATATTAGATCCTTAACAGATCTGTGCCTGCGAGTGTTTTCTCCCATTCGGCAGGTTGTCTTTCTGCTCTCTTGATATTGTCCTTTGATGCACAGAAGTTTAATGTTGATGATGTCCGATTAATCTACATTTTGTTTGGTTGCTTATGCTTTTGGTGTCATAGCACTAATTTTAAGATTTGGTGGAGGTTGCTGGAGGAACACAATCAATTGCTTTTAACAACTTGACAGTTTTTTCATAATGTATGTTTACAACATATTACCCACCCACTCCCCCCCCAGACAGCCACATCATCACACGCCCTCCTGGCAGATGCTTAACCGACTGAGCTACCCAGGTGTCCCTGAACTAGACTTTAAAGCATGTACTGCTATGGGGTTTCCTTCCACTGTTCTGTTTTTCCTAAACACCTGCATATACGTACTTTATAAATAGTGTGAGAATTTCTTGGAGTGAAGGTGGTTGATCAGAGCATATACATGTGCTTAATTTGACCAGGTGCAGTCCAACTGTCCCCCATAATTGCTGCACCTACCTTCCCAGCAGCAGAACATAGACAGTTCTATAGCTGCACGTGTCCACCAGGGTGGGGCATGAGCCTACTTGCAGACTGGCCCAAGTGTGGGAAGTGTCCTCTCATTGGTGTTAAACTTGCATTTCTCTTATTACCCATGAATTTGAGCATCTCATCAGATGCTTGTTTTCTGGGGTTTTTTTCTTGTGGATTGCTTCTTCACATCCTTGACTCATTTTCTTGTTGGATTTCAGTCTTTTTTCTTGTTGATATTTAGAGATTCCTTGGGAATTTTGTAGGCAATAGTCCAGTTTAGTTTGAGAAAGTACAAAGAGCTTTTCCTGTCATCTGTATGTTAACTTTGACCATGGTGCCCTCCACTGTACAGAGATTCTTAATTTAGACGTGATCCCATTAGCCCATTTTTACCTATGACTTACGCTTTTGAAGTTTCATTTCAGAGAAGTTAACCTTCCCCACCCCATGTCACAGAGATTTTCTCTTATATCATCATCTATTCGATTTATAATTTTGCATTTAGTTCTTTAATGCATCTGGAGCCTCCCTTTTATATATAGTTTTAGGAAGAATAGCTTTATTTTTTTTATTCTCATACTGAGCAGGTTTTTCTCTCACAACCTATTAGATCACTTCTTTATCTCATTGATCCATGGAGCCACCGCTCGGGTCTCCTAGCTGCTCTGTTCTATTGATTCATCTTTTCTTGGGTTAATTTACATATATATTTCTTCACATAATATATTTTTAAAGTGTGTATGTGCATGTATATCTATCCACACACACTTTAAAAAAAAAAAAAACCTTTAACTTTGTGGTATATCCTAATATCTGTTCAGGAAAGTTTTTACCCAACCACCCCCCACACACACCCTCCAAATTGACTAGAAATTCATAAAACTTTTCTGTATAAAATTTTAGAGCAAATTATTAAGTTCTTCCAAAAAAATCCAACTGCAATTTTTATTCAGATATATTGAATATATATTAACTTTGGGAAAATGTATACCTTCAAATACTAAGTCGTAACACCTGAGAGCATGGGATGTCTCTCTAATTATTCAGATCATCTTTTGTGTCCTTTAGTAGAGTTTTAGAAAGTACTCTCATAGGGTTCTCATTTATTCTTGCAAAGGATGATTCACAATACATTATGATGTTTGTCACTATAGTTTATGGGATTTGTGTTTTTCCTCTGATAATATACTTTCTCTTAAATAATTACACACAGAAACTCCAGCAAAAGTTTAATTCTCATTGAAGGAGAGATATACTTAACCCATTGCTTTACTATGTGAAGAAATTTCAGATAAAACTGAGAGAGCATAGGCCTGTTTGGCATCTTGGGATATTTAACTTTGAGAAATAGAATGGTTCTTAACACAGAAATAAATTGGAGAAGCCATGTAGCATGGGTCAGAGGACTAAAACTGAAAAAAAAATATCAATGATAGAAAGTTTTATTTAACCTTGACGAGGACAAGGAAAGAACATGGACTACAACCAATCTGTGGTCCCAGATGCTGCATAAGTGGCATCTCATCCTCGGGGAAAGGTAGAGGAGAGGATGAAATTGGTCAGCTTCTTTTTCCTGTCCTGAAGTTAAACACCCACTGCGCTAGCCAAGCTAGTGGAGCCAAAAAATTACCTAAGTTGGAGTCCTACAAAGGCACAAGTATCCCCCGGGCATCTTGTTGATAGAAGTAACTTCTCCCATCAGTTTCCATTCCCTTAATAGTAGCCGTGAATTTGCAATGACAGACCAGAATTCAGCTATGTAACGGGCACTTAAGATTAGAGGCAGGGAACTTGGAATTGATGTACCCAGTGAGCAAAAGTGGAAGGACTTCTGGGAATTTCTGGTGGGGACAGGAATATAAACGTAAATGAGGTGTGATTCCTGCAATCAAGGAGTTCACGGTCGAGCAGGAGAAACAGGTGTTCGCCTGGCTTCACATCGGGCGGTAAATGCTGTGAAGACAGTGTGCTTTACAGGGCCAGGTGAGATCTCACAGAGGTGATATTCTGAACAGGAGATGAAGTGGGAAGACACGAGTGCCCAGGTGATCAGTCTGGGTAGTAGCTTATGAGCAATAAAAAGTTACCATAAGTTTTGAAGCAAGGCAGAGGCTTGTTTCAGTTGATATGCTAGGACTGGATTCCAGGAAGCGGGGAGTGCACATGGGTTTGGTAAGGAGATCAGCAAGGAGGAGCAACCTAAGTAGCTTGTCAAGCTAAATAGGAAAATAAAATTCATGATAGTAATTTAAAAGAGCAGCAAATTTCCAGGTCCCCTCCCCCCCAAAGAAGTTCATACTCCACTCTTCCTAGAGCACTTGACTTGAAAGCATTGGACATTTTTGCTAAGTAAGGTCAGTATTTCAGAATATATACTTTAAGAGAAATATAGTCCCAAATAAGACTTTATCATTTTGATGATTATGATAATGATAATAGAAACATTTATATAGGGAGTATAATATGCCAGGCGCTGTTTGACTCTTGTTTAATACGATAACCCCATGAGGTGGCTATAATTCGCTTTTTATGGATGAGATGATTAGAAGCACAGAGAAGGTAAGTAATTTCCTCAAGAACACACAGCTAGTAAATGATGAGTCAGGCTTAACCCCTGCCAGTCTTGGTGCAGAGTTCATGGTCTTAATTCACTAAGCTAGGCTCCCTCTCTGATGTTTTGAATATCCTGTGTTTAATATTATGGACAGGATACAACATTCGAAAGTTCCAGCTTTACAAATATGAGTGTGACAGCCTTAAGAGTCTCTCCTAACTGTTGCTTCCCGTGACTTGGCATCTCGATGCAGCCAGTTATGAAACCTGCCTTCAGGGAGGTCTGGGGCTGCTGGCGATGATACAGAAAGAAATGGTACCTTTCTCCCCCTGCATTTGTCCCCTCAGAAAACAGAAGCAGCGAAGTCTTCGCAGACATTTGTCAGCACTCGGGATGGTTCTGGAAGTTTGTCTTAGGTGTCCGTGTCAGGCAAAATAATCGCTCCAACATTAAAAGACGTGGGTTCACAGACCTGTGTGTGGTTTGCAGACTGGCGTCTGTGTCCCAGCACTCCTGAGAGCCGTCTTTGTCATCTAGAGCTGTTTACCAGTTTCAGGGGTGTGCTCCGGAAGCCCATAGTGTAGGCTAAAGGATAGTTCCTGGAGCTCTGTCCTCTAGGTAATATTGTCCAGTGTGTACTTTTCTGATTTTCATGTTGTATGGATGACCCAAAGTGCAGGATTCCTGTTCTCCTCAAACATAAGCATTCCTCAAAGCCACAGGGGGAAGAAAACGTTACTGTTCCGATTCCAGACATGCCTGCTGACGGCCGTGCTGCTCGTGCTGCAGTCACTACAGTCAGGAAGGCTGTAACCACGTGGTCTTGTCTCACCTTCGCAGACCACTCGGCCTTTACGTGTTTATGTGCAAAGTCTTATTTTTATTGTTTTCTCACTCGAACAGAGCATCATGGTCCGCCTTCAGGAACAAACTCTGCCAGGCAGAGCCCTGCCCTGCAGCACAGAGCCATGGGGCAGTCCCAGGCCAACCACACAGCTGGGGACAGGTGAGGCTGCTCTCCCCAGCTTTGGGTTTTTTTGTCTCATCGCCCCACCCTTCAGCACCCAGCCCCACCCGCACCCCCACACAGGTACCCCTTCAGATGCGCTCCTACACCCTGCACCCCCTCAGTACCTCATCCCTCCTCCAGCCGCATCCCCAGGGCGCAACGTAATTACCAGCCGTGCCTGACGAATGGGGGTTAGAAAACAAGAAGGGACAATAGCGCCTGGCTGTGCTCCTCTAGGCCCTCCTCATTTTGGTGGGGGCCCAGGCCCACGTGCCTGCTCTCTCCTCAGACTGCCTGAGCAGACCAGAGCAGTGTTTGCACGTACTTCTTTCTTCTCTCGTTGAGAATACTAGCCATGCAACAAAAACGAGATTTCCAGAAACTCAGCGTTGGGGCACTGGCACTGCCGGAGAGCCGTTTCTCACGGACAACGTCCGCTCATCGGCCCCCGGGGTCAGTGACCTGACTGCAGTTTTCCTTGCTATGAACTGCCCCGAGACGCCCTTAAAACAAAGACCAAACCAAACCAGTGTGGGGTGTTGAGAGACTAGCTGCTGGAGTTAACAACCAGATTTGCCCAGCATCTCCGGGTCTAGGCATGGCCTGTCTTCACGGCGGTTTGTCCAGAGAATGGCCAGCTTCAGCTTTGAAAAGAAATTAATTCGCCTTTACTTTCAAACTGGTTTCATTTCCTCAGTTCAGAGAGTGACTGGATTTCTCTCTCGTAGAAGTGCTCTAGAAGGTGAAATCGGGAAAGATGTCCCCACTTCTTACAGACATTCATGGTCTGACCACAAGCACCTTGCCCAGCCTGACACGGCAATGATTTCGATTGTAGGCACCCGGCACAATCAGGTAAACGGATACCACACCCCCCAACCCAGATATGGACTGTTATTTTCAGTTGCTACATCGCTGACGCTGGTGAATTTTTATTACAGATCAGTTCGGACACATTTGTTCCCAAGATTAATAATTCTTGAGGACTTGCTGTGTGTTTGCCATCCCATTAGCCTCCATGAGAGAACGTAAAAGAGTGAAAAAGTTTACCCTGTAATTGGAGAAATGTACACCCTGGGTCCAGTACTTAGCAATAGCAGTGTTTGAGTTCACCAAAGGAGGGTTTCGATTTTTTTTTTTCCCCATGGAAAATTCGTCAAAATCTCCTTAAAGGAAGCATTTCCCCAAAGTCTATTCTCTGATCGTCCTGTTGCACATTGACCAACTAGTAGAGAAAACATGTGATCTTCAGCTTAATTTAGACTGCATTTATAAAGTAGCTGTTCAGCCAAAACTTTCATTCCTTTCTTATGATATAGAAATGCATATTGAGTGTATAAGTCATAATGTCCCAGCTCTAAAAGTAGTCTTTCTTCAAGCTGTCAATAAAGCAGCCCACGAGAACTTGTTTTTCTTATACTTCTTTCTCTCCCAGAGCCTTGGTTGTTACCCAGTGGAGCTGGAGAGAGGCCCCCGGGGCTTTGGGTTCAGCCTCCGCGGGGGGAAGGAGTACAACATGGGGCTGTTCATCCTGCGTCTTGCTGAGGAGGGCCCCGCCATCAAAGACGGCAGGATTCACGTGAGTTGGCTTCCTTCCGCGACCTTTGCTTCTGGCTCCAGACTGGAAATGACTGAAAATAGATGATCAAAGGGAGTGCAGAAACCTCCCAAAGCTAAGTAGCAAAGTTTTCTGTCATTAGACCTGAAAGCAGCTGCTCTTTGTTCCACTTTTCGATGCCTGGTGATTTCATGGCCTTGCTCTGGTGTCCTAGGCGATACCGCACTGATGCTGTTTTTACCGTCTTGACTTTGGGCAATAAGGAAACTTAGTTTTTACTTACACCGTCAACGTTTGAGGGCAAATGGGTTCGTAAATAAAATATACTTTCATCTTATTAAAAGTCTTGGAAAAGCCAGGATAAAACAGAATCTTCAACTTCTTCCCAGAAATAATAGGCCCAGGATTATTTTTTCCTCTTAGCTACCCACAGAGATAGCCAGAGATCAAAAAGCATGACTCCCCCAACCTTTACTATTATTTGAAAGACTAGAATTCACTTGGGTAATGGTCCGTCCTAGGTGTTCTCAACTCTGAAACCCCGTAGCTTTGTACCGGGGCACTGCAGACCAGACTGTCTATGCATCTGCACATAAGGTATTTTCGCCCTGCCTCTGAATGTTACTTCAAGAGGAATGTTATGTAGGGGACATGTGTTGGCCTCGATTTTTAAAAAAAACAATTCACTGGTACTGTTAGGTGATACATTCGAAATTTTAAATTCTAGACAGCCTTCCCCCTACTGCTCAAGAGAACTTTGGATTTCCTCCCTCTCCCACCCGTAGGCAGCAGGGAAGATAATTTTTGTTTAAAAATCAGATGGTATATTCTAATAATATTTGGAAAAGGCTTCCAGGTGATTGCAGTTTTGAATTTTCCACATCACTGCCCCACTCCCATTACTCACTTGGTAAACATGTGTTGAGTGTTTACTTTACCCAAAGCTTTTATGAATGAGTACTGAATGAGCTGGGAGAAGTGGGGGGGGGTCCCTAAAACAAGACACCACCCTTCCTAAAAATGACCAGACTTGTGCACAAGTTCAAAGAGGTGAGGATGAGTGGAGATCTCACAGAATGGATGGCAGTGGAAAGTGGGTAGGATTTCAGCAGAGAAAGATTGGTCCTTTTTCTTCCCCCTCTTTTTTAAAAATTTGTTTGGGTATACTTTAAATCTGTTGGTTTGTTGTTTTTTTAAAGATTTTATTTATTTATTTGACAGAGACACAGCGAGAGAGGGAACACAAGCAGGGGGAATGGGAGAGGGAGAAGCAGGCTTCCCGCTAAGCAGAGAGCCGGATGTGGGGCTCGATCCCAGGACCATGACCTGAGCCGAAGGCAGACGCTTAACGACTGAGCCACCCAGGCGCCCCAGATCTGTTGGTTTTTTAAAAATCTCCCATTGTAGGGGTGCCTGGGCGACTTAGTTGGTTGAGCATCTGACTCCTGATCTCAGCTCAGGTCTTGATCTCAGGGTCGTGAGTCTGAGCCCTGCATTTGGCATGGAGCCTACTTAAAAAAAAAAAATCTCCCATTGTATTGAGTGTCATAAAAAAAAGGGGGGGGGCCAAAAACTAGGATATAATTTTAAAACGTTGATTCCAAGTATAACCCTCAGATGCACTAATCTCACTAAACAAATAAAAGGCAAACAGGCCTTGAAGCAGGCAAAGTCTGTTTCTAAGACATACCATTCTTTACAAATGAATGGGAGCTTTGGACTTCCATGATTAAACCAACTCATTTCAAAAGCTCTGATATTTGAAAACAAAAGGAAATAAGCTATTACGATTATGCACAGGTTTGTTCTAAACTCTAAGAAATCAGCTTTTCAGAGAAGCTTTCTTTTTCTGGCTACCAAACTGTCAAAATCTTGACTTGCTAAGGATCATGGGAGCTTTGTTACTGATGACAGCTGAGTCTGGGGGCCACTGCCCAAATGAGGAGAGTTTATCTCCAGCAAACTTGCACCGCGGAGCTGCCTCAGCTCCCTCCCCGCCTCATGGCCCCCCCCCCCTCCTGGCCTCACCCCCCCACCCCCTCGCTTCGTCTGGTAGGTTATCTGTACCTATCATGTCAGTATCTTCGGTCCTGGTACCGGGCCTTGAATGGTTATGGTAGATGCTCTGTAGATGTTTGTTGAAAGAGTAGAATGGATGAAAAATACTTATAATGAGGATTGTTTTAGCTCCTGGAACTTACTGCTGCGTAGACAGGACTGGGCTAGATGAAGCAGCTGGGCAGACAGTGTAAGAGTGCAGTTCAGTAAGACAAGGGAAGGTTAGCCTGTCACACAGATGGAAAGGCGTTGAGAGTCAAGGGGATCTCTACATTTAGTGAGTCTCAAGCCGTCCATACATCTGGTTAAGATCTGGCGAGGAGTGAAAAAGGGTGTTTGGGGCGAAGGGAACGAGATCAGCTGAGTGGGAAAAACTCGTATTAGGAGATAGTGTCGGATTTAGTTAGATCTTTACTGTAGGACAGAATCAGATTTAGAAAATGTGGAGTCTGGCGTCTTCCAGGCAGCACGTGTTTCCACTTAGTTTTAGTCTCACAAAAACCCTCTAAGGGAGGTGGCATTATCCCCACTTACTGATGTAAAACTGAGGCTCCAGGAGACTAATCCCTTGCTGGGGTCACTCGGCCTGTGGCGGCCGCGGTGGGACCCCAGGCTTTGGTCCTGTGAGCCCAGGCCTCGTGCTTCCCACGTCAGGCCCTGGCTGGTGTCTTTCTAGATGGGACTGTTTGGGGGAAGCGTATAGGTTCTCAGGGCCTTCTAAGGTCATGTAAGCAGTGTGCTAGAAATATTATTTTGTAATTTTAATACAAAATGTACATTTTTAGTGGCTGTTGTTAATATAGTAACTTTTTTAAGGAACATAATTTTTCTCTAGCCCCTCTTCCCATGTCTTTTCTTCCTTTGGTTCTCCTATTCTCCCCTTTCCCTCCCTCTGATTTCTCTCTCTCCTCTCCTCTGTCCCCCATGATTTTATTTTTCAGTCATACAAACCTGAACTCGAATCATTATTGGTTCTATTTATCAAAAGATGTATTCCTCGATACGTATTCCACATTATCCAAAAGATACATTCCACATGTAAAATTTTTAAAAGTAACAGAATTTTCTCAAAGAATGTTCACATTTCTGTCTCAAAGGTGCCATTTTTTAGGTCTCCAGCTCCGTACAATCCAGTAGAGAAGTTTTCCCCCTCTGAGGGCCTGTCTGCCAGAGACCTTCAAGCCATGGGGTTCTAGTGTCCTTCTCCACAATGTGGTTTTAAAGTTAAACGAAAATGACACCTGGTGGCAAATCTGTTCAATTACAAGCTTTATTGCGATTCATTTGTTGTACTAAAAGTATAAGAAATAGTCTGCTTAGGACAGTAAATTTAAGCCAGAAAATGTGACTGCAATCAGTGACCTCAGTCATGTTTCACAAGACACACCCAAAGCATGTTCCCAGTACTGTCTGCCTTAATTTTCATTTCTGTAATTATCAGCAGGATTTTATACCCAGTACTAACTTAGTATGTATGTTTCCTCATGCAAATAATTTTTCTTCAGTCACTTATTAGGGAAATCTGGGTATTGACTTTTGTCTCACATATATTCTAGATATAAGCTTTTTATTAATTATATGTGTATGATTTTTTTCCATCCTGTGTTTATTATTTTGTTTAACAATCCTTTTTCTATGTTCAATCTATCTAGCTTACTTGATAGCCTCCATTTCTTCAAGAGACTCCTCTTTTATTTTTTTCCATAAATATGAAGCAAAACAATCTCATTTCTTTCTCATAGTTGACTTGACATTTTTTGCAATGTAGAGTGGGCTCCAGCCTCAGGTAAACCTTCATCTGGATGCACTTGAAGTCTTTTTTGGCAAGACGGGGAGATAGAGAACTTGAAAAGTAACATTTGTCTTGGTTTGGTGTGTAATCGGGTTTTCTCTCATTAAATCCTCCCCGGTGCCCCAAGATATTATCCCCACTTAACAGGGAGGAACCAGAGACCACCCAGCCAGCAGAAGGAAGAGCCAAGAGTGAACCACAGACGTTAGGACGCCAAAGCCCAGCTTCCTGGCCCCTGCGCTTTGTGCTATCTGTGGATACAGACTTCCCCCCAGCCTCTGTTAAATAAGTACTGGGCCATCTTGTGTTGTGTTATTTCTGGATCATTTTAGTAAGCTCTTATAAATATTTGAGCTTCTTGGAATTTCAGTAGTTTTCCATTGTTCAGTTTTTCTCTTTTGAAGCCAGTACCCTTCGTGTGTTTGTCACCTGTTTTAAAACCACTATCATCGTTATCTTTAGGTCCTTCGCAAAGGTTATACTTGACTCATCTGTATTATCCCTTTTTTTAAAAATAACTGTACAGCATTTCCAGTAAACAGCAATGATACTGAGGCATCTTTTTCTGATCCCTAGTTTTATGTTTCTTAGGGAAATCATTTTACATTAAAGTCATGAGTGTAAGCCAGTTATTGGTTTTAAATAAGTATTCATATTAATATATTCTTCAAGGTGCAGTTTTTCAGAGTTTTCGTCTCTGAATATTCCAGTTATCAAATGCCTCATACATGTACAGGATGTGTGGGCAACACGAAGGAGTGGGCAGTTCTCCCCGGAGGCCCAGAAAGCCTTCAAAGATGAGGACCCACCTGCCCAGAATTCAGAAAATAAATTCAAGATTCAGCTCAAATTGGAAAGTACCCTTCACAGGTGGATCATTCAGTGACAGCCCTGTAGTATCAGGTGGATTAGAGAGACCTCACCTCCTGTGGCACTTATCCTTCGGTGAGAAAACTCAGAATCTGAGTCATGATTTCAAGGTGCCGGGATCCCGTTTACTAGTCATATAAAACTTTCTCCTGTAGGATTTCCACGGAGTAAATAAAGCTGGCCACTGTCTCTTCCTGTGGCTCTCCTCTGTCCACTCGTCATCAGCCTTAGCACTATGGCACTGTGTACAAGTTACACATCTGACCATTGAGAGTCACTTAGCAAGCTTGGGTGGCTCTAGAGCGGACAGAGCAGAAGTGAAGAAGGATGCATTGTTTCATGTTGTTCTTGTGAATGTTCCCTCTCTAGGTGGGTGACCAGATTGTCGAAATCAATGGGGAGCCTACACAAGGCATCACACATACTCGAGCAATTGAGCTCATTCAGGCCGGTGGAAATAAAGTTCTTCTGCTTTTGAGGCCAGGAACTGGCTTGATACCTGACCACGGTAAGTCACATCGTTCACCTGGAGCTGAAACGTGGCTGATGTGTCAGGGAGGGGACAGCGCAGGAAAGGAAGGGGAGAGACAGTTGACTGGCTAGTTCAAAGGTAAACAGCAGAACCGCCTGAAACTAGTTACACAGCATAGGTGTTATACTACTACAAAATAAGCGACTTCAGGCATGATTTTTGTTGGGATGGAATATGTGAAGCAATTTCCATAGAAAACATGTAGTTGCTTTTGTAGAGAAACATGCCTGTAAAAAAACAAGGCTATCGGAAGCAGGTGATTTAAATGCCATGAAAAATATCTGAAATCTCTTCAGATGCTAAGACCTTTAGGTTTTTCTGGTCATTTGTCGAAAACAAGTTACTGTGGCCCTACCTGGGGTCAGGGAGTTGGACGTGGGACCATGTCTGGACTCCTGTACTGATCCTCAGCTTCCTGGGTTTCACTGTTTGGTTTTGAAATATCACAGGATTTGAAACTCATTGTTTAATCGAGTGCACTAGCCTGGAAAGAGAGCACCACGCCACTAGGACGTGTCCCTTCCAGTCCCCGCCCCCAACCTGGAGAGATTTTGAGGGACAAGTATAGACGTGACCTCCTGCAGTCCCCTTCCAGCCTATAATTCTCTGTGTGATCTTGCACCATCTGCTTGTAAACCATACGTTCCCAGTGACATCTTTGCTAACTGCGCTGATTTTTTTTTTTCTTTTTTTTTTACATAGTCCTAGGCTTTTTCTCTTCCTTCTTCAGGTTTGGCTCCTTCCGGTCTGTGCTCCTACGTGAAACCTGAGCAACATTAAGGCTTTCAGGGCTTTTCTTGGTCTTTCCTTAAAAAGACTTGGTAAATTTGCATGTCTTGTAAATCACTTCCTTCTTTTTTTTTCTGTTTAATTAAAAATGATGCTATTAAATACATCCCTTTCTATCTTCTGCTCTTTTCAGTTCCCTTTTGACATTAAAGTTGACAGCTTAATGCAAGAAAATTATTTACAAGTGCCCACGAACCTCGTTCTGGCTACCACAGTTGGGTCTCCTTTATTACTGATTTTGCATAGCTGTAGGCTGTATCCTTTGATAACGGCCAAATTAGTGAGCTTCCTGGACCAAGTAATTTGGTCCCGTTGTATTATTTATTTCTTCTGACTTTTTCATTGGGCTTTACTGCTTATCATATATGATGTATAAATTCTTCATATCACTAATTATACATAAGTTATTGGAAGAATGACTGTTATATTGTGTATATTTAACCACCCTACAAGTACAACCACCTCGCGTACAACCACACCTGCCTTTATCGAGAGAGCTCAGCATCTGTACTCAGGCTGTTTGTTTAAGCAGTTAGTCCAATCCAAATGGCTGTCAGAGTTCAGAACTTACTGTTCCTATTTGTAATTCTAAAATGTAATGATGTTCCACTCAAATCCCTTTTTGTAGGTGATTGGGATGTTAATAATCCTTCGTCTTCAAATGTGATTTATGACGAGCAGCCCCCCTTCCCCCCATCTTCCCATCCTGCTTCCATATTTGAGGAGTCTCCCGTGCCAGTAATTGAAGGCTCTTTAATGAGAGGTCAGACATGTGAAAAGACCGAGGAATTAAAGGATGGTGTGCCTGAAAAGAAAAGCACTTTAAATGAAAATCCGCCTGATAAAAAGCAGCACTCTTTTCTCCAGAAAAATGTGAATAAAAGGGATCCACCCAGCAGTCATGGGCAGAGTGACAAGAAAAATCTTTTCAGAGTAGAAAACGGTGTTACACAAAGAGGCAGATCTGCCAGTCCCAGAAAGTCCGCCGGCCGACATGCAGAAGGACGTTCACACAGGCTTCCCAGTCCTCTACCTACTGACCCCAAAAGAAGACCCAGAGATCGATCACTCAGTCCCAGGAAAGGGGACAGTAAAGGGGGGCAGATGGGCACCAGGCCAGGTTCCGGACAAGATGGCTGCAGAAGAAGCAGAGGACGGTCTTCAAGCCCAAAGAACCAGCAGAAGACGGAGGGAAGCAAAGGCCGACCATCAGAGTCGGAGAGTCAGGGGGGCGGGGGCCGCGCGAGGGACGGGGCCGAGCAGACCTCCGAGGGCAGAGAAGAATCGGGTGTTGTCCAGAGGGACGCAAAGCAGAGCCAGTCTGGAAAAAACAGAACACGGTCTCCAGAGAAAAAAAGCAAGAGGATAGATGAAAAGTCCCTTCCATCCAAAAAGACTAGTACCGCTGCTAGTAGAGTATTATCTGACAGGGAGAAAGGAAAGAAGGCGGCCTTAGAAGAGACAAGCTCCAGCAAAAAGAAGCCAGGAGAAAATGCCAGAATATCAGACAAGAAGCTGAAGCAGGACCCTGAAGAAAGGATGGTTTTAAACAAAACCCAAGCTCCCCGAGGAAAAGAACAAGAGGCAGCCGATAGAACCAGAGAGAGCGGAGGGTTCCAACCTGAGAGCGCTTCTCCCGTTAAGAAAACACCCATAACTCCAGGGCCCTGGAAGGTGCCAAGTGCAAACAAAGCAGCAGGCACTACTGGTGTGGCCGAGAAACGGCTGTGACCTCCGGTATAAAACAAAGAAAAACAAGTTGTAATCTTTTCTTACTAAAAAGTGGCATTTATCCAAAACAAAACCCTACAAAGTCATTTTTCCTGAAATTCTGGAACACGACACATTTTGACTTGAGCATCCGGTTAGCCAGGCTGCATGAAGCGCCTTCGGGACCGCTGCCAACCAACCGTCCCCCGGGCAGCCGCCCTCCCGCCTCCGCGAGGGTCCCAAGTGACGCGAGCGGACGTGCACGGCCTGGTCACAGCTCCCTTGATACCTGCGCCAGATTATCTACTGCGTCATGTCTGTTTTATCCATCTCACTCAGCTGTTCCCACAGGAATGAGAAAACTCGGTTTGGCTTGGAAGTCGATATTCTCAATAGCATGCTGCATGTTTACAGAGAGACACATTTGAGTCCTTGCAGAAGAAGGGGTTGTTAGCTCATCATTAAAAGATGGCAGTCGCCTCTTCTAACAGCTACAGGTGATGGCGCAGGCCCAGTTTAAAAATGAAACTCCAAAACATCACTACTGAAAAGAAAAACAAAATGGAGTCAGATAACGACACTCTCTTAGGGTTTTGAATTCGGCTGGATCAGGTATTTCAGGTAACTTACAGATATTACTTACAATTCGATGTTTAAAATGAGCTAGTGCTTTAGGCAATGAAGAGTTCCCCCTCCTGCTGTTATTCTCCAACCCTGATGTGTGGTCTTAGCATCTCAGGTCGGCCTTTTCCTTCAGTTTATTTTGTTAGGAAACCAGAAAGCAGCATGTGGAAATATTGCTTACTGCTGTTCAGAGAAAAACTACCAGGTTTCTATTTCTGGATATTTGGGTTGGACCTCTTACTACTCATCCGTTAGTCCTTACTACATAGTGCGTACGGGAAGAGTCAAAACGTCGTACAGATCGTGAGGGCCTCGATCGCAAGGCACTTTCCCAGATAGAGGACCACGCCTCCGGCAGTAGCTGTCCGAGCTCAGGTGTTTCAAGGCAGGACCTGCGTTCAGACCTGCTCAGCAAGAGGACCAACGTGGCGGTAGACAGCCCTTGCTAGATCTGATTTCGTTTTAATTTCTAGCTATGTTAACTTATTTAAAAAACAAGAAAGGGAGACTAGACATCTGCTTAGCTTGTACACATTTTCAGAGTCCTTTGAAAAAAATCTCAGTAAAGATGTTTGCTGGGAGGTAGAGACCATTTTTAGCTCCATAAAAGAGATCCAGGATTTTCAGGCCCCTGTAGCAGCTATGAATAAAGGAACAATCTCAGAACAAAACCATTTTATGGAGTATTTGAACACACCTGTTCTGTCCCCTGGGTTCATCTTGTTCTTGTGAAACATGGTACATCCAGGCCCTGTCCTCTCAGAGTCCAACTGTGAAAGTCTTTAACGTACCAACCGAAGCCACCCTTGTAGCTGAGACATGCTTCCCAGAGTGAGATTTCTGAACTCCCCTTCCATCCGGAACTATATTTACCCACCTATTGTAACTACTTGAATAGAGAAAAATTAGGAGGCTTGATCCATGCTGAGAATTTAGCACCACAGAAATGATTTATTTTCCCTATAGTCCACAATTAGTGATAAAAAAATCCTATTTTTATTGTTAACTGTGACATAACTTCGATGTCATATGTTGTCGGTCTGATGTGGCTCTTTTCTTTCTAAGTAACCTGTCACTGTACTGATTATATACTGACTTAGCAATGTGGCCTTGGAATGCTAAGCAAAATATGGATGTACTGGTTGTAAATGTTTATATATTGTACAGTACCTTTATATATACACACTTGAGGTTCTGATTAGAGAGATCTGTAAATCGCTCGTTATTTTTTATATAGATATTAAAAAAAACAAAAACAAAAAACTGTTCATGGCCTGCATTTCTTTTACTGTTAGGTTTATTTAATGTTGCTTTCCCTTTATAGAGCGAATTCCCATCACAGTCTGAGTCCTCAAATAGATGTTGTTACTCCAAGTCACAAACATTCAAAATCCTACAATCAGGAAGACTTATAATGATGACTTGTTATAGCTTCCTTCTGTCTGTATGTAAACCTTGAAATTAGCTTATCGTTATGCCTGTTCATTATAAAGAAAATAGCTTTGCAAAAATAACTTGCTTCCTACACTGTTGGAGAGAAAAGGACTTGTCTTCTTGGAAGTTCAGTGGAAGTGCTAATGGATAGAGTGGTGTAAGTCCAGTTTACTGTAAGGTCACAAAATTCATCAGACTGTGGCATTTCAGCAGTAAATCTTTTCATTTACTATGGGTTACACTTACTTTCAGAATGAAGTGTTTTGACAGGTTTTGGGCATTAATCATACCAAAAAAAATAAATGAAACCCATTTCACAACCATGGTTATTTTACTCTTGTGGGTAAAAAAAAAATTCCTACCATTGCATTAACTTACACTAAAAATTAAACCCATAAACCTGAAGTCCCATAGTGGAGATGCAGGTCATGGCAAAGGCTGTAGAAAGTGGCAGCAAAATAGTTTGGGTGGACATATGTTCTCCCGGAGTTCTGGGATGCTACTGCATTGTCTTGCTACAGATGACAGACTGAGATCGTAGTTACATCAAATTTTATAGACCAAGTAGCTGTTGAACAGAGTCAACTATTTCAGAAGTCTCAGACACAAAAGCATTTGGCTTTTTATTTCTACATGAAAATATCTTGGGTTCTTCCTTTCAGTAGATATTCCCACATAGAAAAAGCCAAATGCTTTTAAACACATGCACAAATGAAGAATTTCGTAGTATGTCCAACATTCAAAGAGAATATGATTTTTAAAAAGCAAGGAATATTCAAATTAGTTAAGCTGTGTAACAGTCTAATGACCTCCACAAAGACGTGTTTAAGCTGAAGCTTAGTCATAGATGGCTCCGACAGAACACTGGTATAAACACGGACTTTTGCACAAAATGTGACGTTTCGGTCTGGTATGAAGAACACATCAGAGCACCTTTTTACATCATCATGGTATGCTCCAATGCCTAAGAACTATCTGTGTTTGTTAAACATAACAGACTTACTTATTTGGGCAGCTCTTCACTGGTCATGCTCTTAAGGTTTGTCAGCAATACAATGACTTGTTCAAAGCATGCCATAATTATTACATGAAATCTGTAATCTTTGCTTTAGTTAACTGAATTAGTTTAAGAGAGTTACTAACTTGGATCTGTTTTCACTGTTGCTATGCAAGAGAGCCTTTTGGGAAGACCGTGATTCTAACCACTAGAGAACTCTGAATCTTTCTCATATACATTAAAAATGTGAAAACATAGCCAAGTGCTTTAGCTTAGCCTAAACCTGTAATTTTGACAGAGAATCCTTTGGGAATTTGTCTATTTCACAGTGTTCACATTAAAGCCAAGCAGAACTATTATTAGCAAATACACAAATCAAGAGGCTTATTTTGTCCTTAATAAGCACCAATCATTTGTTACCTTGAGTAATAATACCTTATTACAGCCTATATGCTCAGGCATGCTGCAGGAAAGGTATGGAATTATTGCACATTTGTGAAATTCAAACTTCATTATTCAAGACGGGCACCAATAACTGCAAGAAGCAAAGGATTACTTTAAATGATTAAACTAGTCAGTACATGCATACATGAGATTCACTTTAATGAATTTCTCCATAATCCCAAATCATATGCCATACTGGGAGTCAGACCCATTTGGCCCACTATGAGTGTGTAAATCTAAAACATTTCAAAAGTGAATGTAATTAATTTGGAAGAGTGTTATTTTACAGTGCAGAAGTCCACTTACTTGTAAATACAATGAACCAAAAATAAAAAGACCCATAAGCCTATACTCTGTGAGGCATTGTGGTATTTAGAATTTTTCTACATGTCTCTGAAAGTCAAGAAGCCTAGGCAAGTATTTAGTTATTCAACTATACAAAGTATTTGGCTTATATTATACATTAGCTATAATGTACATATTTAGGAAATTTGGGGTTCTACCTCCATAGCAATTTTAAGAGGGATAATTTTTCCTGATACAAATTATTAAGTGAACAGGTATTTCTCAACCTTCTATGGTTATTACTATTCCAATTAAATGTATAAATGGCCTAATCTTAGCCCTGTTTTTACATCTTGGTTTAGTTTCTCAGTAACAGCTAAATATTACCAAAGTATATTGTATCTCGCTCCTTTTTGGGGGATCAAAACAAAAGCCCAAGTTCTGGGGTGCCTGGATGGCTCAAATCAGTTGAGCATCCGACTCTCGATTTCAGCTGGTGATCTCAGGGTCGTGGGGTCACACCCTGCATCAGGCTCTGCTCTCAGCACGGACTTTGCTTGTCCCTCTCCCTCTGCTCCTCCCCTACTCATACACTATCTCTAAAATAACTAAAATCTTTAAAAAAGCAAAACAAAAACCCAAGTTCCTAGAAATTATAGAGATAAATGAAGCACTGAGGGTAGGAGAACCATTAAGTTACAACTCTTCCATCCTAAGAGAAAAAAAGTTGAATGTTAAGTTACTTGAGGCCTACTCATTCATTCTACACATTTATATTGAGGACCTATTATGGGATCAGGTACTGTTTTGCATTCTGGGGACCTAAAGAGTGGACAAAAAGTCCCTGCCTTAAGGGGCTCACACTGTAGTGCAGAAACAAGTAGACAAAATATAAGAGGGGAAGCTGCAAAGTAGGAAGCTCATCCCTTCCATGTACACACCAAGGCTGCAACTACATACAGAGCAACTCATTTTGAGAATAACCTGATGACCAGCAAAAATCTCTTCCACTGCTAAAGGTATAGAGAAAAAGCCACATCGAGAAGGGTAGGAGGGGCAAGTAAGGAGCCAAACCCTTGGCAGGGTGACCCCACAGGTGGGAGAGAGAGTACGTGCACAGATGTCTTCCTTGGGGAGGGAGGGGTTCAAACCCCACATCAGCCACTCCTGCCCCAGCCCTGGGAATCTGTTCTAGGAAGATGAGCCACCCCTGACCCTGCCCCATAACATCTTTCTTTGAAACTCTAGGAACTTTGAAAATCAGCAGGGCTTAACTAGGGGAAAGCCAGAGGCTATAGGAAATAAAAACTCTGGGGCACCTGGATGGCTCAGTCATTAAGCATCTGCCTTCAGCTCAGGTCATGATCCCAGGGTTCTGGGATCGAGCCCCGCATCAGGCTCCCTGCTCTACAGGAAGCCTGCTTCTCCCTCTCCCACACCCCCTGCTTGTGTTCCCTCTCTGGCTGTCTCTCTCTGTGTCAAATAAATAAAATCTTTAAAAAAAAAAAAAAAAAAGGAAACAAACTCTGCTCTTAAAGGGCCCTCACATTATAGGAGTCCCAGAAGAAGAGAGAAAGGAGCAGAAACTTAAAGAAATAATACCTGAAAACTTCCCTAACCTGGGGAAGGAAACAGACATCCAGGCCCAGGAAGCCTAGAGAGTCCCAAAATGCTGAACATAAAGAGGTCCACACCAAGACAAATAATTAAAATGTCAAAAATTAGAGATAAATCTTAAAAGCAGCAAGAAAGGAGGGGAAGATGGTGGTGGAGTAGGAGGACCCTAAGGTCACCTCATCCCATGAATACAACTAAGTATCATATCATCCTAAATACCCCAGAAATCAATTTGAAGACTGGCATAACAAACCACAACTAAAAGTAGAGAAGAGGCCACATCGAAGAAGGTAGAAAGTGTGGAGAGGTAGCTTGGGAGAGAAACCAATCGTGGCTGCTGTGGTCACAGAGAAGGGCAAGAGACAAACCAGCCCACAGGGGAGTGCATAGGGAGTAAGAATTCCCATTGCAATTAGCTTGGAAAGCGAGAGGGCCCAAATTTTGTGAGTTCTTAACCACCAGCAGGGCCTAAAGCCTGGAGTTTAAAAGGTTGTGTGCTTGACCCCGGGAGAGCTCAGAGGACATTGGGCTGCTCTTGGAGAAAAGCCAGGGCAAACAGCCAGTGGATATGCAATGTGGACACAGCAATCTGAAGAGCACCTGGGGCACACAGTGGGGAGATTATTTGCTCATCTTGGAGTGTGTCCCAGAGAGGCAACATTCATGGAGCGCCCCTCTGGGAACAAAGGAACTGGCAGGTGTCATTTCTCTCTCCCACACCTCAGCATAAGCATAGGGCCACCTGCAGGACCCAACACGGTGCCAACATTCACTACCTAACTGCCTAGACCAAGCCCTGCCCCACCCCCACGCTTCGGTGGAACCATCCCTACCAATCAGCTTCCCTCAGTCACAGCACAGCAGGCCCCCTTCCTTCAGAACACTGGCCCAAACCCCTGCCCACACCATGTCTCCCCACCTGGGAGTTCGGCAGAGCCTCAGTGGCAACACGTCTCATTTCACAAGCAGACCAGAGCATAGCTAGTTAAAACTCACCACGTTCAGGCCGGGGACCGACAATGCCCACAATAGCGTAAGAGAGCCTCTGCAGATGACTGGTCTGAAGGATAAAGTGGCCAAGACACAACAGCAGAGCATACACAGCACACCTTAGAGACACTCCCAGAAGTGCCAGGCCTGGGAGAGCAGGGTACAATACACTGCAGGACCTCTTATTCATAAAGCCATTACCCTCAAGAACAGGAGATGTATCTGGCATTCCTAACACAGAGAAACAGGCACGAGGACTTAGATAAAATAAGACAGAAGAATTTTTTTTTTAAGGTTTTATTTATTCATGAGAGACAGAGGAGGAGAGAGAGAGGAGAGAGAGAGAGAGAAGCAGAGGGAGAAGCAGGCTCCCAAGGAGCAGGGAGCCCGATGCGGGACTCGATCCCAGGACCCCGGGATCATGACCTGAGCCGAAGGCAGACACTTAACCATCTGAGACACCCAGGCGCCCA